GGGGGGGCAAAGCAGGCAAAGCAGGGCCGTGTGAACACGGAAACAGTGGTTAAAAAGTGAGCTGGAGAATGGAGAATGGAGATGGGAGATAAGGAGGGGGATAAATTAGATAAGAGAGAGAGAGTCAAAACGACAGAAGTACGACAACGGGGGGACGTAACCAATGTAAAAAGTATTATCCTTCTAGAATTAATACGACCTAGATGTCACCCCTATACCACCATCTCCAATCATGATTGATTCCACGTCGTATATCGCCGCAGCGTGGAATGTCGTAGCGTCGTAGCATCGTATATCGCATATCGCATATCGCACATCGCACATCGCACACCGTATCATCCCGCATCCATACCCTATCCAGTAACCTCCACCGCGCCCACCCTCTCCACATCCAGCGTTTGCGTATATATATATATATATATACACACAAATATATATACAAATATCTCGGAATCTCAACAAAGCTTTCCCCCGCGATATCGGGAATACCAGGATACCCACCCCCCTGGTCTCGACACGGCTGTTTGGGGGGCGTCCTGGGCTGTATGGAGCATGGTGATGGTGGTGGTGGTGGTGGTGGTGGCGGTGATGAAGGGTTGAAAAACCATCTAGCAAGATCCATTTCCGAGAACCATGAATGACCGAAAAAAGATCCCTAGCCGGCTAGCTAGCTAGCTAGCCAAGGGGGGAGACGGGAGCCCAGGCAGGGCGCGGCGACGGACTCAGCAGACGCCGCGCCCCAAAGAGTGTGGATTGATGGTCTTGTGGGCTGGCTGCGTTTGCTCTAGATGGGAGACTGGATCTCGTGTGGAAGGGGATAGGGTTGTGGATTTGGGAGGGGGGTGTATGTTCGATGGTGAGGTCTGGGATAGTGTGAGGTCTAACTAGCGCGCGATCGAGGTTGATACGCTGTTTACTGTGCGTGGGTGTTGAGCTTACTGTTGGACATTCCAGAATCCAGGCATGCAAGAAGCATCCATCCAAGTCTCTATCCAAGTCTCTATCCACTCCCACAATCCCACATTCCCCGTTCGAACACAACTACCCCACAATCCCCGTTCGAAAACAATTTACCTACCCCACAATCCTCGTTCGACAACAACTACCCAACACGCAGCCCCCGAGCATGGTTGCCCTTGTATTAACGCCCAATAACCGGTAATATATACTCTATTCGAGAGATACATGATCAAGAATGAGCTCGACCATGTGGTGTTTATCACCAGTGGACGCGTCATATACCAGGCTTGTTTGTTGTGTGACGTGACTTGTGTTGCTGGGATTGGTGGTGTTGGTGGGTGGAGCTGTGTGGTTTGTGTATGGCTTCGGGCTTGAGGGGGTGGTTATATGCATTTGACGAAGATGTACATCAGGACTTGCTATCGGCTGTGCCGTCTTTGAGTAGGTTCACGCAGGTCCCATCCGTTAGCTCCAGGTCCAGGGAGGTCCAGGTCCAGGTCCAGGTACAGGTCCAGCTTTAGTAGAAAGCATCAACACCACATTGCACATTGCACGTCGACCATATACCACGCGAATGAAAATACATACACACACCACCAATTACAGCCCTATTCTCACCCCACATCACGCAAGATATCCTAGAATGCTTAGTATCTACTCTATCAAGGCTGTATATATGTTACGCTATTTCATACCATGCTATATGTATATCACGACTCCAGGTCCGTTTTATGCATGTATATACCTCGCGCCAGCAATGTAGATTATGGTAAAGTAGAACAGATGACGACACGACAACACGACAATACGATTTGATACGACACGGCACGGCACAAAGGCGCAGTGTAATAGTAGCCGATAATAAACACTATTCACTTATATCCCATTACCCGACGTGCGTGTGTGTGTAACACAGCACAGCAGCACACAACACAACAATTCATATCCTCTCCACGGGACGGTGAAAGCAAGCGCACGCTGCACAACACCACAACCCTCCACCTATTTCCTATCCAAGATTTTGTATCTTGCATTTTATATTCTTACTTCTCCTTTCCTGTATTCTCCCTTTACATACTCTTCCTGATTCCTCATTCCCATTCCATAACCCCTGTCTATTTTCTTGTTATCTCCAATCCATACGTCTCACTCACTCCAACATTCCCATCCCCACCAACCTATCCATCCACCCTCGCACTCATCCCAGCTCTTTCCCTCGCTCTTTCACAAACACCCATAGCTCGCAACATAGCTCAGCCCACCCCAGCCCGACCGCCCGTCCGTCCGGACATACCCCACCTCAAAAGTCCGCACGCCCCGTCCAATCCGTACGTCCAATCCCAATCCATCCGCACACCTGCATCGGCTCCCCGCAGCAGTAGCAACACCTACCCTGGCAGCCAGCCAGCCAGCCAAATCAAACGAACCAAATCAAACGAACCAAATCAAACGAAACGAAAGAAAGATAACGCAAGGAGCGAAAAAGGGCCTTGGCAATATTTCTTTTGTATTCCCCCGATATTGGCGGGCATAACCCCCTAGACAACTGCAAGGCTGGGGGAATTTATTTTATTCTATTTAAGTAGGCTGGCACAGCTGCTCGTGTGGAGGTTTTTTCTGTGATTTTTTTCGAGTTTGTGAATTTGTGAGAGAGGATTTTTGGGAATATCTGAAGTGTGAGTACTAACTTATTTCTTCCTGGAGGGTATTGGTATATTTACTGCTTTTAATTTGCATTGCTTTGGATTGTCAGTCAGTCAGGGTGCTGTGCTGATGTTAGGATATAGGGAACAGCCATATCTATACCCATCCCATCCCAAGCAGCACACACACACACGTTCACACACAAACACAAACACACACAGCCCTCCGTACGCGACGGAGAACGATGCTCTGGCAACACCCAGCCAGCATGACGAGCACAACGCAAACCACCACCACCACCAACAACGCAAACGACCAGCCCGGCAAGCTAGGAATCAGCATTGACGACCTGCTCGGCCTCCAGGCAGCCTGCTTCGAATGGGCAGACAGCTACGATGCCAAAGACTGGGAGCGTCTGAGCCGCTGCATTGCACCGACGCTGCGCGTAAGTCCTCCCTTCCTTCCCCCCTTCCCATCCATCCATCTCTCCCTGCCTACAACACGACACAAGAAGAAACATCCTAAACCCCCACCCAAAACCCCAGATCGACTACCGCTCCTTCCTCAACAAACTCTGGCCCGCCATGCCCGCCGCAGAATTCATCGCCATGGCCTCCTCGCCCACCGTGCTCGGCGACCCGCTCCTCCGCACACAGCACTTCATCGGCGGCACGCGCTGGGAGCGCGTCTCGGCCACCGAGGCAATCGGCTACCACCAACTGCGCGTCCCGCACCAGAAATACACGGATGCAACGCTCAAGACGGTGGCGGTCAAGGGCCACGCGCACAGTCATAATACGCATTGGTATAGGAAGGTGGAGGGCGAGTGGAAGTTTGCGGGGCTGAATCCGGAGATTCGCTGGTTTGAGTATGATTTTGATAGGGTTTTTGAGGGGGGGAGGGAGGCTTTTGGGGAGGAGGGGGAGAAGAAGGGGGAGATGGAGAGGGAGTTGGTGGGGCGGGTTAGTGGGGTGCCGGTGGGGATTGGGGGGGAGAAGGGGGAGGAGGATGCGTTGGATGTGTTGTTGGCGGAGGTCAAGGGGATTGGTGGTGGTGGTGGTGAGGAGGGAGTGAAGCGCAAGGCTGTGTCTGAGGGGAAGGATGGTGGTGCTGCCGTGGAGGTCAAGGCGCTTGGGCAGGGCGTCTATGCATCGTGAGCAGGGAAGGAGAGAAACGGTTCGAGTCGAGGGTGAGGTTGAGAAAGAGAGAGACGGGATCTCGACAGGATTGATTTCCAATGTAATGTAGGCAGAAGTGCTTTTATCGCCGACGTCCACGTGACGCGTATATAAATAATACCTAGCACGAAGTCACGAGAACAAGTTTACCTGCCTACTAAGTAATCACCTTCCCAGCCTGACAACCAAGGCACCAACCCCCAACCCCCAACCAAGAACGCACGACGCACGCTGCAGGAGCCCTCACCCGGCCAGTTGTTGTCATGGCAGTCAGTACATAGTACATACATGCCTAGAGTGACGCTCCACAACCCGCCAAGACAAAAACCCGGAAATTCGACCTCCTGCAGCAAAAAAGTCTGCACAGGCAGCAGATGGCAGATGCAGAGATGCGCCGCCCCCGGCTGCTGCAGGAGTGTGCATTTTGCATTTTGCACTGCTTGGTTAGTTAGTACCTACCTACCTATGTATGTATGTATGTATGTATGCATGGAATGATGGAAGGATGATGCGTGTGCCTGCCTGTCCATGACCTGTGCTGTGCTTTGCGGCCCTGATGATTACAATTGTGATTGAGGTGATTAGATGGATAGCTAGGTAGAAAGGGGGGGGTTTTGCTGCAGACGCGCGGGCAGGCGATTTGGAATGATGCAGATCTGGATTGCGGTCTGCTTGATGCATGGTCTGGGTATGCTGTGTGATGTGTATGCGATATGCTGTATGATGTTATTCTTCCATGTCCTTTGTTGACTAGCTGCTGCTGCTGCTGCTGCTGCTGTTGTCCTACGTCCTACGTCCTAATTAAGTCCTACATCCATCGACGTCCTGCCATGACGACAAAGATGCAGACGACATGGACCTAGCGTGGTGTAGTGTTTAATTCCCCTTTGGATATTATCTACAAAGCATCTACCAGCCTACGCACGCTTTTCGCAAGCTTCGCCAACTCTGCACCCTCGCACGGCCGGCCGTGCTGAGTTAAGTGTCTGTCTGTTTGACCTCGCGGGCGGGCCAGTCAGCACATGTGGCCAACGCTCCTGGCTTCCGTAGTTAGTAGTTGTACAGTAGTAGCAGTCAGAGGGTTAAGAAGGTAAAAAAGCTAGGATGCTGGGAGATGTTGACTGGCCAATGATGGTGCAAGGTTGAGGGGAGAGGATGGACGAGCAGTGTTGGTGCGGCCAGGAAGGTCCCTGTACAGTATGTGAAAGACTGAAAATCGATCTGGGCATTGCATTCGAGAAGGTCACGTAATAGTTGTGAGGGAACTAGGTTAATTACTACAGTAGAAGTCAAGCTAGGAAGGCAGGAAAGCAGGAACGTAGAGCAGGGGATAAGAAGTGAAAAAGGGCACGGCATAATGCACAAACACCGTCAGTGAACGACGTAAGATGTGCGTTTGACGGAGCTATTAATATCTCTCTCTCTCTGTCTGTGTTCCCACACCCCTGGCCTAAAAAAACATTTCATGACAAGGGGAAGGTAAAGTTAGATGATGGACAGGTGGTGTGCACGATGAGGTGGTGGTGTGGTGCCGCGGTGGTGGCGGCGGCGGAGGATTAAAGTTATTTACACAGGAGGCCCGAAAGACGCAGGGCAAAGAAGGGAACGTGCGTGGCATCCCATCCATCCATCCCATGTGCGCGGACCTGGGCAAAGGAGAGAAAGAGGAAGAAGAAGATGGCCATGTGCATGTGGGAGGGGGGGGCGTGCAGCAGTTTCAGGTACCATCATCCTGTTCCATTTTATTTCCAGTCCAATCGAGATTTGCTTAGTGTCTTGTCTGCCTGCCTGCTTGTGTGCATCTGTCGTTTGCTGTTCTTCACAGTCGCTGTCATGACATGCCAAACGTCAGCCAGCTGCCAGCGCATGTCGGTTAATTAGTTAGTGAATCATGACAGCACCGCAAGACAAGACAGGAGAAGGCGTCGGAAAAGGGAGCAAAAGGCGGGGCTAAACGTGGCCAATGACGGCGACGGCGAAGAAGAGGTGGAATTGTGTGCATGAGACGGGGGGCATCACGAGGGAGTGAAGATCTGTTCGAGAAGAAGCTTGGAAGGGCGGGTGTAGGATTAGGAGATGCAGGGCTTTCTTTGGGGTTGCGCTGGTGGCGTGCTGATGCGGATTTGCTGAATCTGAAGCTGGAGCTTGATGGTGATGTTTGATGATGCTGGTGCCGAAGCCGGCGAACGATGCAGGGGCGACGTCAGCCAATCAGACGTGCTGTTTGAGGTGTCTCACTAGACATGTTCTGCAGGCCTAGTGATGAGTCAGTAACTTATATGCCAACCTAGCTGGCCGTGGCTGTGGCTGTATCATTGACGATGGGCATCCATATCGGATCAAGTCAACAACCTCAACCACCACAACCACCACAACCATCAATATTCACTGAACCACTCCACGCCATTCCGGCCTCTTCAGCCGGGTTCCGTACTGAGGGACATATCGACAGTATCTTGTTGCTTGAGCAATGGCGCCGCAGCTCTCCGGCTACCTGAGCGTGTCACAACATCTTCATTACGCAGCCTACCCTGCTAATTAAAATACTAGCCACCTTACGGGCCTGCACGGAGACTAAGATGGGGTAAAGCGCGGCAGACAAACATGTCTCTCTCTCTCTCTCTCTGTTTCTCTGCCCTCTACTGCCTTTTTGCTTCATTCTCTCTAGACTCTTTCGCTCAAGCCTTCTTGGGTCCGATGAGTTGATTGTCAATCCGGTGCTAATGTAATGTCAATGCTAATGCTAGTCTAGCCAACTCAAGGGACCTTTTTTCATGCTGCATATTCCCCTCGTTTCGTGTCTGGGGTGTGTGCATCTCATATCTTGTTTCTCGTCTGGGAATAGCTCTCTGTTCACCTGGATGAGGTTCTGTTTGTCACTTTCTAGTTCCATGTATGCGTGTCTGTGGCGTGTTGTAAGTTTGTCTTGTGCTGTTGATTTATGTTCACGTCGATGATGTCGATGATGATGACGATGATGGATGTTGCTGTCGGTTCTGCTGATTCCGTGTGTGATGATGGTGGTAGTGGTGGTGGAGGGCTTCCGTGGATGTTCCATCACTGTACCATACAGCCAGACTAACCAGCCAAACTAACCAACTAGACAGCCAAAACAAGCCCGAGCCCGCGCGACTGTGTTAAGGTTCTTGTTCTATTCCAGCGTCCAACGTGTGCAGCCTCCCAGCCTGTTGCCCCTCCCCTCCCTCCTCCACAGTCCACCGTCCACTCTTCACACAGTCCACACACAGTCCACACACAGTCCACACACACACAAACCACAATCTTTTCACTCATCCGTATCCATCCATCCATCCTACTTCTTCCACTCTCCTCCCGCTCTCTCTCTCTCTCTCTCTCTCTTCTTCTTCTTCTTCTTCTCCTCTGCCGTCTCTGCCTCTTTGCATCGTTTTCCCGTATCACTCCTCTCTCTCCCTTTTCGTTCGATTTGAGTTTACTCCTTCGTGCGCTTCTTGACTTTGCTGCTGCCAGGGATTCGCTTTCATCAGCCATTTCTGCATCATCTTTGGAGGCTCTGCTTCTTTATCGGTAAGTCGACTTCAACCCACTCACCCTCCACTACACTACACTACCCGCACACACCCCTCCCCACAAATTCACTTGCTGCTCATAACTGCGATTCTCTTCATCCTATCATCACTGTGCTCGCAACACATGTCCACACACACACTCTCTCTCGCTCTCTACCGTCTGGTACCACGCGCGCGACCATTCTCCACGCTTATATCAGATTTCGTCATCACTTTCTGCGCTTCTCGCGCTTCATGCGCCTGACTCTTGCGCCTCGACCACTACCGCCCTACCATCCTGCGCCTATGTCAATTCTCCAACTCGACCTTTGCGCTTCTTTCTCACCTCCATCAATCCTCCTCCCTTGACCCTCGCTGTCGTGCCACCTTCGCTCTCGTCACACCAACCTTCTCTCTTCTACATCTGCTAACCTCTCTCTCTCTCTACACTTCAGACCGCGACGCTTGTTCTGCTGTCTCAATCGCACTTTCCTAAGACCCATTCGTTACTTGGATTACGCGCTCCAACTGCAGTTTGAGATACCCCCCAAGTCTGAAAGCGGTTCTCCTCTTCAGCTAGGCCTGTCAACACTTTTCAAGCCGACGGTCCTTCTCCATCCCATAAAGCGTGTAATCGCGGGCATCTTGGACAGCTTTCTTCGGCAAACTACGCTTCTTGGTCTACTCAGCCGTACCAATCAAGTCCTGTCTACGCGGTATGTCCTCACCTCCTGTCTATTTTTTTTTGGTGTTGCACACTCCCGCTAATCGTCTTTTCTGCAGATCTCCAGAGCTTCGCGTAATACCAATCCACATCCTTAGCAACGAGTCCACGCACATTTCTACATACAATATATAAACATGAGTGCCTTTCCAAACTACGAGGGCTTCCAGGGCCAGCAGCCTCCCCAGGACGGTGGTGCGCCTGGTGCTACTGGCGGTCAACAACAAGACCAACAGATGGGTCAACCCATTGAGAATGCTGCCGGCCAGTTCCAAGGCGGCAACATGGGTCCTCCTAATGCCGGTCCTAGCGCTGAGCAGGGCGACGGCTCCAAGACCACTCTCTGGTAGGTCAATCATGACAATGACCTCATAACTCGGACTTGCATACAACTGGAAGAAGATGAAGAAGAAGAAATCAGCACTAACTGGTGTACATCAGGATGGGAGAGCTTGAGCCTTGGATTGACGAAGGCTTTATCCGCAGTGTCTGGTATAACATGGGTGAAACAGTCAACGTCAAGATGATTCGCGACAAGTTCTCTGGGTGAGTCGCGTCCCGCTTTTCTTCAGGATATAACCAGCTTACACTGACAGTGACAGCAACAACGCTGGCTACTGCTTCATCGACTTCGCCTCCTCCCAAGCTGCAGCAAAGGCTCTCGGTCTGAATGGCCAGCTCATGCCCAACACCAACCGTCCTTTCAAGCTCAACTGGGCCTCTGGTGGTGGCTTGACGGACCGCAAGTATGTCGTCTTCCTACAAAAAGCACTTGACCCAACCAATCAAAAATGCTGACCTATAAACTTCCAGTCGCGATGATCGTGGCCCTGAGTATTCCATCTTTGTTGGTGATCTCGGCCCCGAAGTCAACGAGTACGTTCTGGTCTCGCTCTTCCAAGGCAAATATACCACTGTCAAGTCTGCCAAGATCATGTCCGATCCCATCAGCGGTCTCTCGCGTGGCTACGGCTTCGTCCGCTTCGGTGACGAAACCGATCAGCAGCGCGCCCTCACCGAGATGCAAGGCGTCTACTGTGGTAACCGCCCAATGAGAATCTCCACGGCCACGCCCAAGAACAAGAACGGCGGTCCCGGCGGTCCTGGCATGGGTATGCCCCAAGGTGGCCCAGGTCCTATGGGCATGTACGGCATGCAACAAGGTCCCCCGATGAGTGCTGGCTTCTACGGTCAGCCTCAGCAGCCCATGAACCAGTTCACTGATCCAAACAACACCACCGTCTTTGTTGGCGGCCTCTCCGGATACGTCACTGAAGATGAACTGCGCTCCTTCTTCCAGGGCTTCGGAGAGATCACCTATGTCAAGATCCCCCCCGGCAAGGGCTGTGGTTTCGTTCAGTTCGTCCAGCGCCACGCTGCCGAGATGGCCATCAACCAGATGCAAGGCTATCCCATTGGTAACTCGCGCGTCCGTCTGAGCTGGGGTCGCAGCCAGAACAACTCTGGCCCAGCCGGTACTCCATACCGTCCCGCGCCCCCACCGCCAGTCTTCCCCAACATGGGCATGCCTCCCTCGCACCCATACGGCAACTTTGCGCCAATGAAGGTAAGCCCGCACGACCACAACTTCAACGGCCATCAGCACCAACTAAACGACTACCAGTAATCTCCCTTTTGTTCCATCATGTTGACGGAGTTGCGACCTTGAGCGATCATTTCGAGGGTTTTCCCATAATCTTACGGCTTCATCGGAGTTCGAACTTGACCTTGCATGGCAACGTAATGACTATTCCCTGAAGTGACGGCTCGACACGACACGATACATTTGCGGTGGTTCTTCAAAAAAGTTGATCTCCTTCTTTTCCTCCCCCTTTTCTTCGCAAACCAGTCTTTCCCTGCACCACGATTTCCCCCTCTCTTTTTCTTTCCTTTTTACACAACACTTAGCGTGGGCGGCCTAGAGAAAACCTTCCACCTTCACACACAACCCTTGTACAACACTGGCTCAGCTGGAAATCGCTACTGGTTCCTTTTGTTTTTGTTGTAAAGCGCGTTCTGCTAGAGGCTACCGAGTTCCCCCTTCGGTACGTGCCTAGGTGGCTGGTCTTTGTCTGAGTGCATTGGGCCGACCAAGATGTGGTGGATGAGGGAAACTTTCGAACTGCAGACAGTTTCCAAAACACCACCAGCGTGAGGACTTCTGCTATGGACGTATTTCTGGTTCGGGCCCTCTACCTCTCCCGTCGCGACGCGAGTATACTAGCAACAATTTGGGCGATCCGACGCATCTATGACCTTGACCCATCCGCCTCGACTCATGGAGAGTTTGAATGTCTGTGTGGGTTTATGGGAGGTGAATCGGACGTCAATCTTGGGGACTTGGGGGACGGTTTGGCTAAACCATACAGGACCTCTTGAGCCAGCCTTGATGGCTCTTATTCTATTAGGTATCTTGCCCTCGGCAGGTTGGCTATGACCCGGACCAGTTTGTTCTCAATGCGAAGCGATCAATTTGCATGTTTTAGCGCTGCGTGCATGTCTGCGTGCGTATACCTGCCTGCGAGTCTGCGTGCCTGCCTGCGTTGGCTACCTGCTCTTCTTGCTGTCCTGCCTGCCCTGTCCCGCCTGTCCTGCCTTGCCTTGTCGTATCTTGCCTTGTCGTATCAAGTCTTGTCGTATCTTGCCTTGTCGTATCAAGTCTTGTCGTATCAAGCTTGCCGTACCGTATCTTTCCATATCTTGTCCTGCCCTACCCTGCTCTGCCTTGTCCTGCCTCGTATTCTCGTACTCTCCTGCTCCTTTCGCCGCCCTTTTTCTCTCTCATAAGTCCTTCTCTCTCATAAGTCCTGCATCCTTCCAACTCGTCTCGTCTCGCCTCGTAGTCCAATTCTCTCTCTCCTCACGCCCCCGCACTTACACACACCAACACGTTTCTTTAGGTCTTTTTTTTTTGGTGGTTGGGGAAAGAAAGGCATTTGTTTCCCTTGCCGGTCTTATCTTGCCTTACCTTACCTTTTTTTTTTAAAAAAAACCTATTTCGGCATTTTTGTGACAATTTCTGTCTTTTATGTTTGTCTTTGTCATTGTCGTCTATTTTTAATGTGTGTTATGTGTTTTATTATATTATATATATATTTTTTTATATATCTGTTTTGTTTTATTATCATTAATTATTATTCGTGCGTTTTCGCACTTTTTCTTCTTCTTCTTCTTCTTCTCTCTTATATTATTATTATTGAATTTTATTTTTTATTTTTTTGTGGGGTGGTATCGTTTGGTTTTCTTTCTTCTTCTTCTTCTTCTTCTTCTTTTGTGTGTTATCGTTGATTGACTATATATATATACTTGGAATCGTTCATTGGCTATACTTGAATCGATATCCCTCTGTCTCTCTCTCTCTCTCCTTCTCCTCTTTTACACGAATCCAAGTCTTTTTTAAAAGTATATATAAAATTTCAGTCAAATCAAAAAGTTCCCATCCAGTTTCTCCATCTCAGGGAAGCAATGAATAATAGTTCAGTCAAGTCAAGTCAAGCCCAAGTCCCATCCACCCCATTCCAGTCCAAGTCCCCATCCAGCCCAACCCAAGTCCAGTCCAGTCCAGTCTAGTCTCAATTTTTTGTGTCGAAGCAAAATCAAAGTTCAAAAAATCATTCAATCCAAGTCTTCTAGTCCACATCAAAGTCTCGTCCCATCCATTCCCAAGTCTCGCCCACTCACAGTTACATTCAGTCACTCCATACCAAAATCAAAACATCAAAACATCAAAAGATCAAAACATAAGCCAAAAGTCCAGAATCAAAAGTCAAGCTAAAAGAGCTAGAATACCACTCCACCATACCACTGCCAAAACCCGCTTGGCATGTGGTATCATGTGGCGTAGTATACATATACCTAATATTAGATCAATAAACTAATAAATGTAGTCGCTCGCAATACACAAGTCATAAAAACCGAAACTACTTTTTCCTCACCCTCCCTTTCTTCCCAAGACATGCATGCTCCCATCTATTCTCGCATGGATATACATGCCCCTCCTTCGCAGAAATGCACGACATAAAACTAGAAGCCTTCTCTTTTCCCTCCTCCCTCAGGCCCGCCCTTAGGCCCGCCCCTAGGCCGCCCTACATACCCGCGAGCGCCCTCCAAACACCAACCCCAACGCCAATGCCAACCGCACCCACAAGACAGACAACCACAAAGATAATCCAGCCCCTGCCCACACACTCACCCGCCCTGACAATCCACTCCTTCTGCCCTCTGCCCCTTTCCCTGCCATCAACCCTCAACTGCGCCTCTACACTGAACCGCCTCCATCCAACCTTGTCCTCTTTCCGAGTCGCACTCGCCACCCATTCGCGAAACGGGCTCTGCACACTCCTCTTCCCCGGCTTCGCGACTGGCGCCGGAGCCGTCAATTCAACCTCATCGAACTCCTCGCCGGCGCCAAATGCCTGTTTCTCGGGATCGTGGGTGCGGTGGAGGGACGGGGGCGGTTGGATGCGGAGCGAGCTTTTTGAGAGGGGCTTGAGAAGCGCGGCGCTTACGTTTAGGAGATCTCTGGTGTCGCCGTAGCTTGCAGACGGGGAGGAGATGTCTGTGGGACCGGGCAGAGTGAGAGGAGTGGTGAGCGTGCGTTCGATACGAAATCGGGCGGGGATGGGTGGGAGCGGCACCGAGGGGCCGGCGTAGCGATCGAGGATGGATGACGTGTCATGGAAGGCGTCGGCGTTGGTGCTTGTGGTGTCGCTGGGGAGAGGGAATGGCGAGGACGGGAATTTGAAGTCCTTGAGCGCGTTGCGCTCAGCAGTCGTGGCACGGTCAAGAGGGGCCTTTGAAGCTGCAGCCGTCGAGGCCTGACGTGATGGCGACTTTGGAGGTATTGGAGGTTTGACACTGCCAGTCTCGTCTATAACTGGTTGTCCTTTGGCCTGCGCCCGTTTTTGCTTACCAAGGTCGTCTTCGGCAATCTCGTCATCGGATTCGTCTTTGAAAACCGAAACATCTAAGCTATTATGTGGGTTCAGAAGATCGAATGACACGCCATCGTAGTGAACCTGAACTATCGAAGGCCTGCTCGAGGAGATGGAAGATGTAGTGCGAGCATCGTCTGGTCGAGGCAGACGTTTGCGCGAGTGAAAAGATGCAGATGTTTGTCTACTTGACCTCGCATAGAGCCCGTAGAAGCTGTCAAAGTCCCCTTGGATGGTTGTTGACTGGTGGCTATCAAAGCGCCCGTGCGACGTCCACCCTGATTTGGGCGATGTCGATTTAGTTGATGAAGATGCAAGGTAAGATGATAAGGAGTATGCCGGTGGATCAGGCCACCGGAAGTCTTCATCTCCTGACGCGCTGGATGTTCGAAAATCCGAAAATCGGCTCTGTAACGGTCCGTCGTAAGGCTTCAAGGCTTGCGCACTTCTAGTCCGCGGGATTGGAGACACTGAAAGAAAAGACGAATCTTGCGTCAAGTTGGGTTGACTACGCGAGAATTCAGGTTTGCTTGCATCGATTCTCGTGGTCGCAGCGGGTGACTTGGGCCCTCTAGGCATCGCTTCGACTGGAGGCAAGATGGGAGCAAGCCTCGACTTTGGTGATTGTGGTTTGATGTCTACTATCTTAGGTTTTATAGGCTGTAGTATGGGGTAGCGATCGCTCAAATCTCTCCTGTGTCTCAGCACATGTTCCAGGGAGCCCGAAGGCTTACGAGCGTGGGTCTGTTTTTGTGGCGTGGGTGAGTGCTGGTCCCTCTCAGTAGGCGGAAAGACAAAGGATGAATTGTCACCAGTGTCTGGCACCTTTAGTTGGTAAGACGTTCTGGGATTTGATTTGTCTCCGTCCACCCCATTATATGAGAAGGGACTATGGCGAGGATGGCCATTTTGATAGTTCAATCTCCGTGGAAGTTGAAGAAATTCCCTTCGTTCGTCCAGGCTGGGTTGCTGGTTCAATGGCCTCTCACGGTCTGCGAATGCGAAAGCTGGCTGGAGGGCATTTGCTCCAACAGACTGTGCGAGGCCAGATAAGGTACATGGTGCAAACGATGGACTGGCAAAAAGATCCACATCGCTGTACGGAACGTACCGTTCACGATTTTCTGCTTGTGGATCCCCACGAGATATTGGATTGGCGAAAGAGCGTGTATTTCCAGGCGCTGATTGACTGGGTAGTGGGGGAAAATGTTCATGAATGTGAAATGAAGATGATGGAACCGATCGAGTATGATCGGCGAAAGTAGTATAGAGGTTTGACTCCATAGTCGGTACATTCTCCTTGTCGAAATCTGCGGTGCTAGAAAATGGATCTTGGCTTGATGCGATATTTTGAGTAGATAGGTTGGCATAAGGCTCCGCAGTCCGGAATGACAACGATGAGATCGATGGAGATAGGTCTGGCATGGGTATGGTGTTGAATCGCGAATCACCAATATCTCGTAGAGGCCGCTCCGATGGTAAATGTGAAATGTTCGGTGTATGATAGCGTGACGGGGCTAGATGCTCGAATTCAGGAATGATAGGGGCATGCGGCAATCTCTCTCCAAGACGGCTTGGAGCCTTCTTTAGCTGTCCCTGACCTGCTTTCTTTCGTAATTTCTGCTCCCGCTCGTATGGCACGGCATTCTGCTTTGCGTGATGCTGAATCACGGTGACAAACATCGGCCGAGGATTTGATGGTGGTCTATCCGGATTGAGTTGAGGCGTACCAGGCTTGCGTTTCAAGCTTGGTCCATTGGTGTATTGCAAAATGTCTGGAGAACGCTGCTGCTTGCGGTATTCATGTAAAGATAGCGTATTAATTGGTATACTCGTCGGAGTAGTGGCCTGTGAATGATGAGGCGTCAAAGCCGAAGTGCCTGCCGGTGGATCGAAGACCGAGATATTGATAGGTGGTGTGGAAGCCATAGTGGACGACTTGTCCCCTCCGCGAATCTTCAACATGAGGGCTAAAATAGCCCGTGCTTTGAACTATCCAAGTATTCAAGCTCTACCAAAACAGATGCAACAGCGTCAGAGGGAATCTCCTCGACTGGTGTGTAGTGCACACAGGTCACCAGTACGCATAACTACCGGCCTATCCCAAAAAGCTGATGTTGATCTGAATGAGAGTAAGTCGTAGCAAGTGTGTTGGCGATGCTGATACCGAGAGAATCACGCTTTTCAAGCTTCGAAAACGTAGATCTTGGCCCACTTACAAATAAGGCAAGGGCGTATCAATGACAAGTTGCGGGTACAAGGAGCGTGTTTGTAAAGTTCCTTAGAAGCCGATTATAACAGAAGAATCAGAAGAGTGGATTAAGAGTGCGGCAGCTTCAATGACTTGGACAGTAGGACAGTGAGCGACTGGCTGTTGTCGGTGAACTCGAACAAGACATGTGTGGCTGAGACGTTCAAAAGACGCCGAAGAAGGCAATCCACCAAACACGTCCCAGGCTGTAAAGAATCGAAAGACGAACCAACCGCTATCCAACGGTCGCTAGCAAAGAAGAAGAAGAAGAAGAAGAAGAAGAGAAAGTTTCGGTTTCTTTGAAGCGAGTGAGGAAGTTGAAGAAGTCAAGGCTCATCCGGGAGCCACAGGTCCATCCACAAGGCAAGCATGATACGGTGTGATGGAGCTTCTCATAACGACCAGCAAGACAGCCGGAAAGAGATATGCAGCCACATGGCAGTGACGAGAGCAGATGAAGGATCAGCACTAGAAACTGCAGAGCCATGGTACACATCAAACAGAGATGGTGAGGGCGGGGCCAGCACAGGCAAGGCGTCGCATGCATCGCAGTCATCGGGGCAGTGTATGGAGTGAGAGTGAGATGCGAAGTGTGAGCAACTTGTCGTTGAAGCTGCTTCTCGTCCACCCGTTGGCTGTAGTCCCCGGTCTAGGGCCCGAGCTTTTGGCAATCCCGCCCACCAATCCCGCGCCGTAACAGCCTCGTTGCTTGACTGTCTAAAATCACGGCCTCCTCTTCTCGTCCACTTGACTACCAGATGCGTGTCGAGCTGCTGATGTGCCATCGCTAGACGCAGCTGCATGGCATCTGGCTGGCTCTGCTCTCGCCACCACCAATACACACTGCGGTCCTCGTGCTGGAGTGGGCTGTCCTAGTTGTGTCGAGAGGGTGGGATTGCTGCGTAGCAGATTGCTGTTTGTCGCTGATGACACTCTCCACTCAGATGCTGCAAGTCCGGTCAAGATAATACAGAGCGTCTTTCCGGTCTGCCCGAATGGGCCTTGAACTCGCTGTGATGGCCATTCAACGCATATCCTGTGTGATGGTGTGATGTTCTACTCTGTCTCATCTCGTGGCCACTGCCTAGCACCTATGATTGTTAATATACGACCAGGCTGAGGAGTCTTCACTTGATTCTAACGGAACTGCCTACTATCAATCAACGAGGCCTGGTCTATCCCATGCCATAGCTGTTGCACACCCACCCGGTATACAGATCCGATTCGACGCCATTTACAAGGAAGAACCTCCCGGCCATGGCGCGACCCATGGTTCGCATCGGGAACGTCAATCTGACATGTGAGCAATCAGAAGCCCTCGTTGGAATCTTCCATGCTTTCCAGGTGATCGGTCAAGATGCGGCTGAAGGGAAGCCGCCTAGGAGAACATGTCCACCACTATGACTAAAACGGACCATATAGCGTTGTAAGAGATCGACCTCTCACGTTGCGTGGGGATGAAAGAAAATAACAGAAGGGTCGCGTGCGCCATGAATATGTGGAGGCTATGAGCACGCCAAATCAGCCCAAACACGTGCGTGATGAAGACGACGGTGGTGACGTGGAAGTGGAGCTTGGTTATAGTCGGGAGGTGCCGGGGGATATAGTGAGGTATCATCACATCTGTATAATGTCAAGATGAACATAGTCATGTTTAAACATCGTTACGATGGATTCATTTCGAATGTCCTTGTTGCTTAGATATTTCCTTATGTGTGCTTTATATCGTGTTTCTCGTCGTACATGTAAGTGAACTCCGTGTCAGATTGTCAACGTCTCTCTAGATCTGGCAGCTCCACCAAGTTCGAAACCACAATTTGCTAAACTTGTGTTCTTGATAATCAGAGCCTACGCCTGCTGCGCCTCTTGAGCGCGCGCTTTCTCTGCCATCGCTGCAAGGAATGCGTTCTTCTTCTGCATCCGTTCTGCCTCAATCTCCTTCAAGTACTCCCAGACCCACCTCGCACATTCTTCCTTGGCTGTCTTCTTGCCAAGCACATTGTGCACTTCGCCAATGCTTCCTGGAAACTTGGGGTCCCCGGGAAAGGATGCTGAGCAGTTCCAGAAGCCTTGTATCTGTGGATCGGATGGAACGTTCACGTAAAGGGGCTCGCGGATGCCAAGGCGACGCGCAAGAACCGAGACTTGCGAGACGAAGGTTTCATTACCAGGTGTGTTGTTGGGGGATGCAATTGGCAAGGCATCTTCTGGGCTCTTCAGCTCTCCATAGTCGGTCTCTGAACGATTTACGCTCGAACTAAGTGCGTTCTGCTTTTTTCTGGGCGTACGGGCCTCGTCCAATTGGCCGGTCTCTCGTAGCCACTTGATAGCTTCCATTGCAGCCTTCGATTTCGCCGATTTTTTGCTCGGTGAAGAGACGGTTCGGGAGCCAAATTTCCGGTCTTGGCCTGACGAGAGGGTGATACTCACTTCACAAGAGAATAATTGTTCACCACAAGTGAACATTTGGAAAGATGGGAGCGGCTTCGCAATGGCTTGGGCGAACTCTACAACCAGTCAGCAAAAGTTTATCGTCATTCTAGGCGACACCAAGTAGAGGTCCTACCTCCGAGAAGGCCAATCCAGTTCTCCGGCTCCGGCTCGACAGTTTGGACAGATCTCCTTAGTACAACAATCTCCTTCAGCTTTTGAAGTGCCTTTTCTGCTGCTCTCTCCTTGGCCTCCTTTTTGTTGCCATATGGTCCTTTATCTTCGACTTCCTGCCCGTCAAATGTAACTCTCGCCCCAAACCCAGGGCTACCATCTGGTGAGCCCTTGGGCACCTGTAACAACCCACTTGGTGTGAAGAATGTGAAAGTAGGAACGATTCTATTTGCCTGGCAAAGGTGCATAAATGCAGGGACATACTCGGACGCACGCGCTGCACGGGGCAAGGGCGAGCCCAGTGGTGATGGCTCTTTCGGGATGTCATGCGATATCATCCGCGCCTGAACCCGAGCGTTTAAGGCGGCAAGTTCCTCCGCTATGAAGTCGTTGATCCCTATGGGTTCCGACGAGGTAGGGCCGGGTTGCAAGGGTCTGGAAGTATCCATGTGTACACTAGTCATGATACAATGAGGCGCTGAAAGGTTTCCTGCTGTTCTACTTTCCACACTCTTTCTGAGACACCAAGCTGTCTGTGTATTTGCGGATTGGGGGTTGCGGCGGGGAAAAATGAGCGACTTTATATGTGGACGATACTTTCGAGTGCTCAGGCTGTAGATCTAAAACCCTCCAATGCCATGTTCATTGAGCCTTGCGCAGAGTCTTGCACAGAGCCTTGCGCAAAGCCTTGCTGATTGCAGCTTCACAGACACTGCGGAGCCATACTTGAAGCGGTACAACGCGCTAAACACATTCGACGCATGTGTGTGGTGTAGCACTCCCAGGATACCAAGGAAACGGGTAAGGTTTTCCGACCAAATGTATCAAATAAAGGGTATTGGTATGAATGGCGGTGCGTCTGATGCACGACAATTGGGCGATGCTCAAAAGTTTGCTCTTGTTTGCTGTTGTGCGACGGAAACGACTGGTGCTTAAGGCACCACGTGAGCGCGTGACAGAGCGCGTTTACTTCACGTGCGTGCCCTGAACCGTTCATTGAATTTGTACGTGAGAACGAGAAGTATCAAGAACTCAATAGTTTGCTTTCATTATATCATTGTACTTCACGCATAGACTAGAACTATTATTCCCCGTCCTCCAAAAGACCATCGTCCATCATGTCATCCTCAGATCGCATAACACTCTCGATGTATTTCAGCGTTCTTCGCACCGGTAGTCCCACCACGTTGTCAAATGATCCTTCGATGCTCTCGACAAGCACAGTCCCGATTCCCTGTATGCCATATCCTCCGGCTTTGTCAGCTCCCTCGCGGGTTCGCACATACGCGAGTATTAAATCGTCAGTTACTAATCCCGATCAGTATTGCCAAAGTTTGAGAGCACACAAACATGACAGATTCACGGACCTTCGTCATCGAACTTGACCGTTGTCTCCTCAACAAATGTTTGCTGCCGGTATCCTGGGTCCCGCAAACTCTCCAGCGGTCTCATGACGACCACTGCTGTCAGGACCTTGTGTGTGCCTTTGTCAATTCCATGTGTGCCAGAGTCGCGCAACGATTTTAGCATATTGATATGATCCTGCTCCGAGCGAGGCTTCTCCATAATGCGCCCGGTCATCGACACTACGACTGTGTCAGCCGCTATGACGAGCGCGGGCTCACCTAGCTCTGTGTTGTCCATCTCTTTGGCATACACCGAATTACATTTCTCTATAGCAGTCTGTAGTACGTATTCGAAAGGGGACATCGAGCTTTTTGGAAGGTTCTCGGCGAAATCTGAGGGTATGCATTCGATATCTTTGAGCCCGATCTGGTCACAAGATTAGTGATGAACGAGCCATGACATCGCTGCCCATACCTGTGCTAACAACTGTTTCCTTCTTGGCGATTTCGAGGCCAAAATCACTCTCTTCCCGCGAAGTGCTTTCAGAGCTGGCAGATCCAGGGGCAATGGACCTCGTGGCCGACCAGGCCCTCCCGCGCCCGCTTGTAGAGCTGGATGCGCAGCGGACTCATAAGACGGTGGCGGATCACTTGGTACTGAATTAGAGTCCAAGGGCGTACTTTTGGTATCATTAGACATTTTGAAAGGCTGTTGAGACCAGCCGAGCTGCCTGGGAGATTATTAAGGGAGAAGTCGATAGGGAAAGCTACGGACTCGGATCGGAAACCATCCATAGCAAACTATTATTATTGAACCAAGCTTATCGATAAAGCTCAATTTGCCCCTCTATAAAGTTTTCTTCCCCGCTAATGCTACTGGAAAGCAGAAAATGTTGCAGTCTTCTTTACAAAATTATGCGCCATTATGATATCGCATCCGGGAGAACTGCTATTTGGCGTGGCGAAGGTAGTCTCCGTTCGAATGAAGCAGCCCGTACCAGTCCTGCATGGGCGTTCATGATAGGCCGATAGCCCGGGTTCCATCAAAACTTTTTAAGTTGATACACCGTGACGCGGGCGTAGATTTCAAAGCAGCCGAGGCTAGTCTAGTCTCTTCGTTCGAAGCCGTATTCCTAACCATCTTTCGAACCTGCGCCGAACATGGACTCGGCCTCGTTTCGTCCGAACCAATGACGTACACCCTCAGACATGAAGTTTCCTAATCTTGCATCATCCCCTTGTGGTACCGTGAAGGCGCAATTGAACCGCGCTTGACCTTGTTAACGGTCCTGTATCTCTTCGTGGCATATCTCCCGTACCGAAACGAATACTTATAAAGTGTCGTGATCTTCCATTCATCCCAACTCTCTCATCGTGTAGCTCTCCATATCAAAAGAAACATCATGGCGAATATCGTCCCAAACAAAGGCCTCATCTTCAAATCTGCCCCCAGCGGCTGGCCTATTCCAGGCAAGGACCTCGCCATCGAGGCGCGTGACTTCGACCTCAACCAAGCCCCTCCCACCGGCGGCGTCACCACCAAAAACCACTACTTCAGCTTCGACCCTTACCAGCGCGGCCGTATGCGCGCGCCTGAGGTCAAATCCTACTCCCCGCCCTATACGCTCGGCCAGCCCATCACAAATCGCGGCATCCTGCGCGTGCTCAAGTCCGACAATGATAGATTCAAGCCAGGCGACTTGATCACTAGCCAGGATGCCACACCAATTGAGGAATACAGTGCACTGAGCGCGGATATACTGAGACGCGCGAGAGTACTGACGAATCCATATGGTCTGGATCCGAAGATATATTTGGGTGCGCTGGGTATGCCTGGATTGACTGCGTGGAGCAGTTTCTATGAGATTGGAGAGCCAAATCGGAGGAAGTTGGCAGGAGAGCAGAAGAAAAAGGCCGGAAAAGACGTCACGGATGATGACCTGAGGCCAGATACCATTTTCGTCTCGGCCGCGAGTGGGGCAGTGGGCCAGTTAGTGGGACAGTTGGCGAAGCACAACGGAATGCGAGTTGTTGGGAGTGTGGGCGATGACAAGAAGTTGGATTTCATCCTGAAGGATCTGAAATTTGATGCTGGGTTCAACTACAAGAAGCTGAGTGGGAAGAGCGTGACAGAGACGCTGAAGGAGCTAGCGCCCGAAGGTATCGATATCTACTACGAGAATGTCGGTGGTGAGCAATTGGAGGCAGCAATATCGAATATGAACGAGTTCGGCCGTATCAGTGAGCACGCCCAAACATACATCTTTGACTACTCACTAACAAACACAGTTGCGTGTGGCATGGTATCGCAATACAACCTCACACCCGATCAGCTATACGGCGTGAAGAATCTGATGAACATCGTCGGCAAGCGGATCAAGTTCCAGGGCTTCATCGTCGGAGACTTGACCGAGAAGTGGTCTCAGAACCATCAAGAGACACTTTCAGAGTGGCTCAGCAAAGGTGAGATGAAGGCGCAGATGAGCTTGACCCACGGCATCGACAATGCTGTAGAAGGATTCCTGGGCATGCTGAAGGGAGAGAACTTTGGCAAGGCAGTGCTCGTTGTCAATGATGAAGTTTAGATGGCTGTTATATGGAGAAGAGATGAGCATTCATACGTGTGTCTTGATAGGAGTAATGATCCCGTGTAGCATTATAGTATTTGAATGGATCTGAATTGTTGTATAGGAATGCATAGTTCGGAGATTGGCTGGGTCACAGACCATATATATGTCGATACAGGATTCCCTTCATACGATGTCAAATTCATGTCAGACATATACCAGTATACACGGAAGTCAAGCACATTCGGCCATACCAACCAGAAAGCAAGCGGTCCCGTTCGCTCCCGCCTATTTAAGCTGGTTAGGGGTGGATTAGTAGTTAGGTGGGTGACCACTAGCGAATACCCACTGCTGAATGTTTTGCTTTTTGACCGCTTGAGTCGTATTCATAACGTATATGCCCAGGAGTTATAACAGGTCTCCTTTTAAAGAAGCGATTTTATCTAATCAAGAGGGCCATGCATTGTTGATGAAGTATATCAACACTAATGATCCATTCACAGATGTACAAATAGCATCTATATCTGTGCTAGGAACGTACAGTCACGATCATGATTTCACTCATCCCAATCAACAGATGATTGTCTTCACCAGCAGTGGATGCTACATCAGCTCAGTCATATAAATCTTTCAAACTCACACACAACAAAGCATAATATGCGCTCTTTCCCACATGCGAAGAGACACTGACTCAACAAATCGTCTATGGGGACAACGAGCATCAGATGCCAGGACAAGCAAGCGACGAAGTATACCTTACAAATATTGTAATCAAGTGGGAAACGAATAAAGCTCGGTCTACGAAAAGAGTGACTTGTTCAGCTCGCTTGCTATAGAAGACGGGCGGCCAGGACGATCGATTTGTGTGTATGTGTGTGCGGGTCGGCATAGGGTTTAAGTATGGCTCAGGTATATACGGGCGTATATTAGAAAGGAGGATATGAGGTGTTGGACTTGCACCGTACGTATACTGCTATACTTGTCCTACTCGTCATGCCTTGTAAATTCGGCATGCGACGTATGAAGCTATTTCATATACGCAGGTGAGCATATAGTTATCTTTCTGGCACAAGCCTATGGACGCGACATATGGGATCGCTGTCGTCGTGTTAGAACCATATTTCGCGGAATCTGGAAGTTGGTAGTACCGCTATGACGAGGCTGTGTTAACAGGGGATCGGTTATGCTTATACTAATCAGAGAGGCGGCACGGTGACCGGGCAAAAGATGCCAGGGAGGCACTTAGCGAACGGATATTGCCTATTGTGCAAGCATTGGGGAGGTTTGTTTCATGATCACTGGTCATCATCATCATCACCATCGGCTAATGACGGAGGTTAACGGTGTCAACCGTGATCAATGGTCGTCATAATCATCGGCAATCGGCCAGAGACTACATAACGTGATTCGCGATCGGTTTGCGTCCAATCTCGTCCGACACGTACTGGACATCTCTAGTCGCATTGCCCGACTGGCAATAGAAGGAGGAATAAGACGTGGGTTGAGGGAGGATGGGAGATACATACAACATACGCGTAAGAGTCTGAGTCAATTCATACCCGGCACGACCGAGAAAAATAAACAGTAAGGAGGATACCAACGAATGGTAAGCTCCAGTGCGACCTATAATGGCACATTGCACATATATTAATTTCAAAGCCAATACGGAACGCACTTTCCCTAAGGGCGCAAAGATCATCATGCTTATAGTTTGCATCTACATCACCATGCACCGATGAATATCATCACCATCACCACATCATCTCGGCTACATAGGCCTGAGTGACCGATCAAGAGCAGACAAGCACATGGGAAGCATCCATCTCATATGTTAGGGCACATAGCAGGACCTATCGAAACACATTAGTAGTGTGTGGATCTTGAGACAGCGGGAAATTTGAGAGGGCAAGCACCCTTTATATGTGCGGTGTACAATCGGTTGATGAGTGCCAGGTAGGATGGTTGGGGCCTGTGAAGGTATGGTATGCGAATGGGCAGGCAAATTAGGGGTATTGTAGGTCATATTGTGAATGGAACAAGCATTGGCACGCTGCTCAACTATGCCAGCAGAGAACGTAGTAGATAATCCTTGATCTGACAATCGTCGATTACTGCGGCTAACCATGGATGAACGCGGCTATATTGCTACAGAGATGCCAGCTCTGTGTCATTAGATAAACGAGATACACGTCTGATGCATTGGTATAAGTGAAACGCAGAGATATCGTGCGATCCACCCTGCAGTCGGGAGTGAAGTAGAGATCTCCTACGAGGCATTGTCAGGGGCACTACGCCTTTCAAACCGCAGTCAGGGAGGGAAGTACTACTTCCATCAAGAAGAGCCGAGAGAAGCGGCTCACACGTGTGTACGTGACGTGAAAGTAATACAAAACACAACCAGACGCAAACAGCTCATCACAACAGTCAAACATGACACCCCTAAGCACCGCAATGCACCACAAACCGCATAAAATCATCATTACCCTATGTGCGACTCTACATCACGTGCACCCGAGAAGAAGAACCCCGCTCAACCCAGAGCGTGAAAAAAACTGTATTCCTCACCACGGCTCCAATTCCCTCCCCGCTTTGCCCCTTACTCTATCTATCTTGGAAGCCCCTTCTTCTGATGGGAATGTTCTACCACGCCTTCCTCGCCCACCACCCCTTTCCACGCCCGTAGTAAGATCCGGTCGGAGATGCCCAGCCAGTGGTATGTCCGTATCCGCCCTCGTTCGACGTGGGAGTGTGAATCTCGCCGGGTCCGCCAGGACCACCGTAGCCCCACGAGCTCGGCGACGGTGCAGGTTCGGGTGTTGCTTGACCGCCATATCCATCGGTAGGATTACCGTTACCGTCGTAAGGATGCTCAGTCGGAACACCACCACCCACAGGACAGATGGTAGTTGTCTCCGTCTTCGTCGTAGTCTCTGTCGTTGTTACGGTGACACTGATGGTCACTGGCTGCGGCACATATTCCGGGATCTTGGTGACTGTGACGATGCTTTGCGGGGGACATGTCTCGATGGGCTCAAATGTCCAGGGAGCATCTGGCGTGTGGACGTTTGCGATGATGCTGGTGGTGAGCCAGGTTGAGTATACGTCGGAACCTCCGTTGTGGCCGACGGAGGTAGATGTTGGGACGAATGTGGTGAGATAGTCGGTGACCATGGTGGGATTGTGTGTTGGTGGATTTAGCGGTGGTGGTGAATACATGATTGATTGAGGCGGTGATGGACTTGGAGTCGCTGGGGGCGAATGTGGTGGAGGTGGTGGACTGCCGCCTGTTGGGTGTGGGTTCCAGCCTGTGGGATTTGGTGTGTGACCACCTGTTGGAAACGGATTCCAGGGTATATGGCCGTCATTCAAGGGACGGTGAGGAAATGCTGCGAAGGCTGAGCCAGCAAGAGCAGGCAGACTTAGGACTGAAGAGCGCATGGCGAGAAATCAAGGTTAATATGAGGACAATGAGGAGATGTTGAGAGTCTGAAACGACTGATAGATCACTGATCAGGGCCAACTTGAAACGAGGGTTGTCCTGTCTAGCAATAATACACGTCAAGCTCAATCCTGAGAGGTCGCAATAACGAGGGACGACGAGCCAAGAAATATGATAGATTTACAAGTGAGCTGTAGAATGAGCGAGGTTCTTCCTTAGATATACTCAGGCGTGTGCGCCACGACCCACAAGGCTGTTCAGGTGGGAAATTACTCAGATAACGACGTACCTCAAGGTATGTTGCTGTCATCATCAGTCCGATCATGCCGGGAACCCACCTGGTGCGCCCGAAGGAACAGTCGCATCGTCTGTGACGATACGGCCCATAGCTGAGCAAGACAAAACGAACAGGGATGCACATTGGATGCACAGCCAGGACCCTTTGTCAGATTACGAGGACGGATGGTAATGCCGGCGAGGTATACCAGTGGATGGCCTCAGCTAGCCATGATCGCATAAGCCCCCATCGTGTTCCCTCCTCTTGAGCATCATAATCATCTCTTTAGCTTCAACACAGATACGAGAGTAGTTCCAGCGTGGCGTGCTCTCGAACAACATCTGGTTAAAAGTACGTAGTCTCAATGAAATGCGTGGCTGGAGAAAACGACAGGAAAGAGAAATCCCAAGACATTGGTTGATGGAACTGTACCAGTTCGCTTATAGCCGTGCTAGTCCAATTCTGGAAATAGCAGCTAACTAGAGCCGAGACAGGAATAAAACGTACATATTTTTATCATTGCTGATGTCCGTAAGCAGTAAGCGTCCCCAGCCCCTGCCCACATCCACCTAGCCACCATCATGACGAGTCCACTGAGACCTCAACATCTACCACGGTGGCTTGATCCAGCGGGATTCCATTATATTGCCCCTCCGCCGCTCTTCGATTCCGTGGCTCTCACTTGTGACTGTGCTCACTCATTCTCCACTGTCAGACCGTTGTGCACGGAATCGAGCGTTACGTGCGGGCTGGATACGATATGCTGGCGCTTCTTGCTGCTGTTTGTGGAAGAGAAACATCACAACAGGCCTGAATGGGCTATGTAGGTACATTATCGACGATTTTTATGGCTACACGTGGAGTAATTGCTGGTACTGGTATGTCGTAGTCGAGCGTTGCAGCAGCATCATACGACTACGAACTCTGGTGAGACTGTGAGGAATCGAAGGCCAGTCTCCTGGTCATGCTGGCCGGTGAGCTTCATGCGCATAGATCGGATTCCAGCCTCTTTCCATTGTCTCTCAGCCTCAAACCAAATTTGAACAACGCTCGTATCACCAGCTACTGAGTGCTCCCTCTTAGCAGTCCTGACTCTCCGTGATCAAACTCGCTGGAACATCCACAAGTAACAGTCTTCGAGCGAGGCGGAATCGGAGTACTCGATCCTCGTAACCCGGTCTGCAATGTAACGTGCCGGCACTTGCGGAACCTCACTCTTCCTCCGGGACGAATAATCACCTTACCAAGAATCTCGCCAGAACGTCCACAACGCATGACAGCGGTAATCCGGCAAGCTCGAACGTGTCATGTTCGATAGTCTGATCTGCGGGACCCTAATTGGCCTGTCTAGTCATTCTCAGGTAAAGCTTATGCAGACCTCACATCGACTAGTGCATCCTATCCATCCATCCTTGGCTTACACAATCTCTCAACCATCAACGGTCGCTGAGCAGGCCATTGAGTCCTTTGTCCACAAATACTTGCATGTAAAGAGCACCGGGTAGGATACGATGGAGATTTGAAACGCAACAACAGAAAAAGACACATGTTGGTTGATATTATTGTTGGAAGACAAACAGTGGGGGCCGAAGGCGAAACAACACAGCCACTGGGGCGACCCCAAATTAACAATAAGACGTGCTTAGAAACACTTTTGGTATGCCATCCTGTCAGATTTGCGTCGTAATCAAAGCAGCTATTTCGTGAGATGCTTGCGGTAAAAGCTCTTCGATGTCATCGGTCAATTGTCGACGTTTTATTCACTTGCGATGCTGGTGGAGGGTCATGCAACTAGACCTCATTAGGACTAGTGTTAGGAGGAGAGATGAATATCTCGCGTGTATCACACCTGCAGTATCATAAGTTTGTCTTGTCTCGCTCAGCACTCAAGCGTTCAAAGTAGATACTTAGAGGACTTTTTGCAGTGGGAGAATGATGTGGAAAGTCGATGATACCGCGCGTGCTTAGCGTCGCAGAAGTAGTGCGTAAGAGAGGGGGTATATATGAGGAAGGAAAGAAGGACTGGGGCATTTCGGTACCTGGATGGACGAAGGTTCAGATGACTGAGAACAACGCTTCTCTTAATTAATTGAGTAATGTGATGAGATGCTGTAGGTATAGGCATGGCATGGGCGTAGGATGATGAAAGGCTTTTTTGTATACATGCACAAGTGGTTTTGCGCTTCTCGTTGGTTTTCGTAAATGTACTAGTAGGCTGTTTAATATCTGATTACTCAACGCTGAAGAGTATGCATGGACCGGATAGCTGTCCTCAGGTTCTCTAGCTGCTGACTATTGAACGACGAGCATTCCGCCTAGAAGGTTTTAGATATGCAGAAGAGACTGGATGCATTGACGCGGGCCTGTTAGTGAGGTTTGATATGAGGTCAATCGAAGTCGAATGCTATGTGTCGTAGTATGCTGCTGGGCTTAGCATATTGATTGGGCTAACGCGAAATCACGTTTCCCCTATTCACACCTACTCTCTTGTGCCCAAATGGCACTCGACTGCTAACGCAATTTCCGTGTGGTCACGACGTATTCGTCGATGACCGTTAAATGATACGTGTGGTCGTTACACCAAGAATCTAGGACGATGAGTACAAACCTACTTTACTCATCTTGTGCCTGTTTACCTGTGCCGTGCGTATAACGATTGTTCCTATGGGCTGTGACGTAAGTTCGAGACTTCGCGGCAATTGCTATGTGTCTCCTACATCCACCAGTACATATGATCCACCTTATTGTCCATCAGTTTCCCTTTAACAAGTGTGAGCTCTCAGCCGTTGCTTGGGTAAGTAACACAGCGAAGTGTTCGTCGTTGCAGTCCAAGGGTGAAACAATGGATGAGTCCTCCATCGACAGAGTCGTGAGCCATCGCTGAAAGTTCGTGCGCGGAGTGTAGCACCTGCTGGCGGGTGCTGCAAGTATGCCGATCACTGCCATTCTGAGAGTGACAGCTCGCACAGCGATATCAACAGCGCTGATCCTTCCCAGACCCAGTAAAACAACTACACCGGGCGAGTGCATGACAACAGTTGGGTACTTGCCAAAGTGAATCCCTAGAGCGGAAGTAATTATTTGTGATGCAGACAAATAGACGACTCCCAGTGTCTGCATCCTGCTATTTGTGCGTGGTCTGTTGATACGTGGCGCCACGAACATTCTCATCGCGGAAGTGAGGCAGCTGATGATCATGCAACTTTGCGAGCTTGAAGTTATCACTTCTCTCCAACAGATCGATCTCTACGTCCAAATATTCGCACATCTAGATCGAGATCATCCGTTGATGCCCTAGGCAAATGCCGAGAGTGCCTCCAAGGAAGGGCCGATCTGTCAGATGACACGAGGATGTTTTTCGTATTAGCAGTAAATTTTGAGGACCCGATAATGTTGCACACTGGAGGATGTGCTGAAATAAGTAGATATAGGCATTGATGCATAAGCTACTCGGCCGACAGATCCCTCTGAGCGTGTGTGCTTGGATCCTGTATGGCAGTCTACTCTCGCGGGTCTTTCGACCAATACTGATACATGATTGATGACCAAGCCCCGTGAGGTCAGCAGTCAAGATGTGAGACACCCGTACTGGGCTATGGAAGGTCTTGCGACACATGCCGATGTATTTGGTGGACGGGTGTGACCACGAGGCTCGAATGCTTGGACTGCAGCCTCGCGCAACTGACATGAGTTCTGTATCACGGAAGCCTCCGGAGCTGTTGCCATTTCCGAGACTTGTGAATTATGCTTGCAGCAGGCCTGATCAGGCCACTCCCAGCGATGCCAGCACAACTGAGCAACCCTGTGTCGCACTGTCCCATGTTGTACACCATACAATGCAGTGAACCGCCAGGGCTGCAGACTGCAGCAAGTAGGTGACAAGTCCTAGGGCACGGTTACCAACACCCGCGCGATGATAATAAGAAGAGCCACCGTGTCGGGGGCCGCCGCGTTACACCAGAAAAGTCCAGAAGCTGGGATAGACGAACTCTTCCTCAAAGATTCGCCTTACTTGCTCGAGAATGAATTTTTCCACCTTCCCAACATTCTTCAGGACCTGCTTTCCACCTTCCTTTTGTCCGATCTCGCTCTCAACGCGGATTTGTTCGAGCAAACCCCCAGCTACCTGCCGTCGGGTGGCCGCATGCTCCAGACTAGTGCCAAGTGGAGCCTCATTACTGATTATGGACTCCGCATCCTCTGGTGCGAGGAAGCAGAAGTGTGCCTTCTTCCGGATGTAAGCTAGAATTGATACACCGTCAAACGTGATGCCTGTGATATTGAGTTTAATGGGAATTTCTACAAAGCTAGGCATGGGGTAGTCCAACAGGATCGAAGCTGTAATTCCTAACTTGATGTCGCCGGAGTACTTGACGTGTGACACCACTTGGATATCATTGGCATCTGGTTCCGAAAGCGGTGGCTCCTCTCCCTGAAGTTGCTCAAACGTACCAGTTTCATAAGTATCGACCTCGGACCCTGCAGGCGAATGAGGCCTGCTACTATTCTGCAGATGTTGAGAGGGTGGTCTGGAGCCAGGATCAGCTATAGAAGGCGGAGAGCTGGAAGTGATAGAACCAGCCGGGGCACGTGACGATGGCTGGAACTCTCGCATGCTAGCATGCTGTTGATGGGCGTCCGGCCAACCATGGTGGAATTGGGCACCTGCCACAGCAGCAAGTGGAGTCGTAGTACCAGGTAGACCAGCGCTGAAAGGCATATGAAAGTAGCTCAGATTTGACGAGCCGCCCAGCAGACCTGGTGTGGGTGCTCGTGAGAGGAATGGCGCACCAGGGAGTTGCTGCTCGCTGGATGAGTAGCTAGCGCGTGGACCACTGGACCTTGTATAGTAGTCGAATGAGTTATTGTCCACTCTTTGGCCGTTTTCGCCTCGAATTTTGGCATGCGGATCGGTAAGGGTCGGTGGATGGTCACTTGGCTTGCTGCCTAACAGTGCAGACTGGGCGCCGCTATCGGTTCCTCCGTCTCCATTCTCGGTCCCATCGTCTTCATCATCCTCGTAAAAGTCGGGGAGTGGATCACAGATGTCTTTGATCTCTATCTGAGGAGCAACATGGCCAAAGTCAAAGTTGTGTACTTGAACGGAGCGTATGAATCGCGGGAGCGGAACCTGCTGGAATTTGTCATGGATGAATGCACGAATGCTCTCAGCAAGATCAGCTCCGTCGGAGCCACCAGTGAGCTTCTGCCAGTTAACGTCAACAGACATCAGGCCTGATTGATGTGATTTGAGGTGGTGGGTGGATGAAAAGGGTTGGAAATGGAAAGGCGCGCCGAGCTCATGCAAATCCGTGCGCCCACCTGAAGCGGGCAGGGCCAGGCTAACCAGTATTAGCGGCTACCTACCTGTGTTTGCCTGAGCGGCTGAGCCTGACATGAGCCTGAGCCAGGTAAGCCTGAGCCTGAGCCAAGTAGTAAGCGCGCACTCGCAGCGCGTGTGTGTGTGTGGAGGAGTGCAGCTGGAATACAGTCGTTCGCAATAAACCTTATGAACCTTGACAGCAGCCCGAGATGAATGCAACTTCGCCTGGCTGACCCTTCCTTCAAATATTGACTCATCATCCCTTCAAGTTGGCAATCGTCCTCTTACCGAGTGCCGTGTCCGCATCAACTTTCGGTCTCTTGACCACCTGTTCATCGAATTATATTATCGCATTGAGTGATCGTCGCTTGGCCGTCGTCTAGTAGAGGTTGCCAGCTTGCATTAGCAGCGCTTGTATCCAGGCGAAGCGGTCTGATACAGCGTCTGCGTCTAGATCGCACGCCTCCTGCAATACTAGCTTTGTCGCTATCAGATAAGTGTGCGGGGTGCGGTACAGGAGACGTCTTACCCAACACTTCCCTTATCTATTGGCTGAATGAGTGAAGAAGTGGTATTTGTTGCGTGATGTGCTTGTTGTGTGTGTCTTATATCATCGTGCCACTCTGGACCTTGGAATGCTCTAGTGCATAAACTGTTACGCCGTGGAGATGAATCAGGCCAGAGCATTACCGCTTTCTGTTGCAGCTTCTGCGACAATTGCCAAGCACAGCCTGTATGGACATCTGTCAATATCAGACGTGCGTCGACCTAGTGAACAGCGCGTTTAGTCCTGAACTCCGAATATGCATAGCTTTTGATATTGAATTGCCCAAATAGGGCTTGTTGAGTAGGGAAGTCCAGACAGAAACTGTAACGGTTCTCCTCATAAGGCAACTTGGGGCACGTCGATCAGAGATCTGATGCAGAGAAGGCTGCACAACCGATCCGTCCGTTGGCCAGCCTGTTTCTCGAACCCAGTCGGTCTTCGATGGCTGCGGAGACTTGCGCGCGGAACAGGGATGGCTTAATGAACTTTGATAGTCAAAAGGTAGTCGTCATCTACCATGATCCATGATCCATGCTGCATGTCTGCAGCAAGAGACAAGGAAGAGCTTTTTCTGAGTCAGGCTCAAGCATTTGATGACCGCCAGTCGTCCTGACACTAAAATCTCTCCATCAGCGTTCCGTTCCCTTGCGTCCATCCGAAGACAGCTTACAGTTGTACAGAACGGTTCTCTGTGGCTAATAACGGCCCGTCCCTCGGATCGATCGGGACAGGAAGCGCCAGCATATGTACCGTGTCCGCGACAAGAACGTAGGCTGTCTGACAGGCGGTCGTGTCACGTTCCCAGACGAAGTCCGCAATGTGAGGATGGGGAAATGACATATGGCAGCTCTCTGGATAAGGACGGAACAGGAGGAAGGGTTGTAGCCTTTCGTGATCCGAAGCCCCGAAGCCCCACCTGATGATCCATGTTGGTCTGCTGCGCTGCAGTGTGCTATGGATGCGTGCTCTCGTTTAGAGGGTCAGGATCATATGGAGCATCCCCACCCCGCTGCCAGAGGGCATTATTGATGAGACGTGGTCGATGCAGGAAGGTGGAAAGACTCTGGGCTCTGGACGCGGCACATACCATGATCATGATGCTGCTGTTGGTCAAGGGACTGTTTGCATTGCGTTCAAAGGTGATTTTTATCCCTGCCCTTTGATAGCCCTCCCTGGCTTAGGCTTTTCTGCAGGCATGCCGATTATAGGCCCTTTGAGCGGTCTCGCCCTTGTCCCGCGTTGCCAATGCGTTTGATAGGCGACATGGTGCCTGTTGTCAGCCCGCCTCTGCGTGCATGGTTGGATGGCTAAGCGCGCAAGGCTTGCTGTCTAACATCTCCCGCAAAACTTGTAGACAAGCTGTCACCTCGGTTCGTAACATTTACAACGATGCTAGCAGACTGTTGCCATGTTTTCAAGGGTGCCAAGAATGGTTTAGATCATAGTCGGCTTGGTTCAATTATATCCTGGCATGTTGCCCCAACCAGTCCGCTCATGCATGACTCTGTGTCAATCTAGAGAATATGTCCCATCGCCGGTGCCGGCATCCAAACAGCCTCCGCATGAGCCTGGTGTGATCACCGAGAAAGATCGCCCCAATAATACAGTCGAGAAGTACCCTGAAATGTGCAATCCTGCCGAACGCTGGTCGTGTGCTTCGTGACCTTCGTCCACGTGGCCGCTGATTGTCCTAACGCCATAACTTTTTGGGCCGCCAGAACAACTCGATATGCTCGCCCTGTTTAAGGGACATGCGCTAAAGGAACCAATGCGACACCAACCAAGGAAACTCGTGTGATAGCATGAGTTGACAGAATTCTTTCGCCTTTCGCGTTCGAATCTATGCTCCAGTGCTACCTTTCATCGTGAAACGTGGAGGAGGGGCGAGGGATAGGTCTACGGAGCTCCTGCACCTGGTTAGCCAATTGGTCATTTCCAGAAAGTGCCCAGCACGCGAAGCTCATGTATGAAACATACCTATGGATTACAGCTGTCACATTTCTCCGTTCGATGATCCAAGTCTCTTGTGCTCACGTTCGGGCATGGCGAGCTTGTAGTCTTGGACGTTGCGCATGGAGCGATATCCACTACAACATGACCACAGCCATAGGTTCGAACAATTTTGGTACACATCTTGATAACCTCCTTCACGCTCAACGTTCTGATTTGTGGAGCCGTAATCTGCGCGGATAATCGGGATGTAGGTGGATCGATCTAGGAGGATAAAGACGAGAGCAAATTGAACCGGCGAGATCAAGACTTGAGAGGAAGACGCAGGGCTATTCGTGTGGCGAGCTATCAAATGACCTGCAGGAAGACTGTGGTAGTATCAAGTCGCTGCAATGACGAGGCGTGGTTGGAGTACGTCTCCCGTAGAGGCGGGGAGGAGAGGGTCTGATGAGTGAGTTAGGTACTTGTGAAGTAAAATCAACCGGACAGAACAAACCTCACAGCGCAAGGCGAGAAGACGCTTTATACCGAACGCATAGAGCTTCCGGAGAACTGGTTCCTTTTGAAATTGTGCAAAGTGGTTTGCGTTCCTTGAGTGCGACGTATCCAAGTCTAAGGCGTTGGCCCATACGCGGGTAGGCAAGGACATTTTCTACGACGGCGCGTTGGAGACATGAGCGAACAGGGATACGAACGGCGGGCAGGCTAGAAAGATGCCTGTGATTGTTCCAGCATGGGGAGACCATTTGACCAATTGATAGCCTGCCGGGGGGTGGTGGCTTCAGATGGGGTTGCTTGGGTGTGCTTGGACTTGGTGCCTGGGGAGGGTCGAGGGTGGTGGTAGGCAGGTAGCAAATAGCAGCAGGTAATTAGCTGGTAGCTGGTAGCAGCAAGTAGCAGGTAGCCACCACCACTACTACTGACTACTGGGAACCCTCGAGAAAAGCCTCAAGAAGAGCGGCGCAGGGTCTGGCTTCGTTTCCGCCCGTTGATATCACCACTAATAATTACCTCCTGCTTCTCTTCCTCCTCCACCTCCGCAAATATAACAAGGATCACCGACTTTATTCTTTTCAAACTCAGTTGCAAACTTTTTTCCTTTTCTGTTTCTCTCAGCTGTCAACAGCATCCTTTTGCTCTATCGGCTAATTTTACCCCTATAGAGGCCGAGTGAGAGCCGCACGCACGCACGCACATACAGCTCATTTGTGAACAGGTTACAGGTTACCGTCACCGATACGGACTACGGACGCAGCTTACCGTACGTCCTTTCCGCGCAATGACCTCCGGTTCGTCTCTGTGATGGATGATCCTCGTCCGTGTCACGCGGACGAGCGCTGAGAAATGTCATTTCAGCATATTCCCCACGTTCGGAATAGTATGCTTGTGCCCTATACAAAGGTTCTAGCTGCAACTTGCAACAAGAGTTGCAAAAAAGTTCTTGGTACTGCCCAGCCGCTATGTCAGATGGACCATATTCTCATACCGGCTCGATTACGACTGTGCCGCTGCAGATCTTCAGACTTCTTTACGCACTTCTACTACGTGTCGTTCCTGTTCAGAGCGGGTTTTCCCCGCCACTTTCGAGTAAAGACCATGGTTTGGCGTGGCCATGTTGTCAAGAACCCCAGTCGCTGTAGTGATCAGCCACGTCGTCAACAGACACTCCAGATTCCCTCAATGACTGTAGAGAACAGCGGTTGCGCAATAGTTCAGCCTTGTGGGGACTGTCCTTAACGCTGTGACCATCCAAGAGTATTCTTGGTCTTGGCCAAGGTAATTAGTCTACAACGCCGTTTGTCTCGTTCTCGATAGAATATGAGCCCCACTTGCTGTGTTTCAATGTGAGCGGTGACGAGCGGACCGCTGCCCCCCGGCGTGACAGCCCTCGAAACCATATTTCCACCAAGACAGGAAGAGCATGGGTTTCGGATGTGTCGTGAGGTCCCCGCCATCAAGACCGGGACGTTTGTATGCTAAGTTGCTTTTGCGTTTGAACGGCAGCTCCGCATGGCACCCTGGAAGTAGGACTGGCCACAAGATTGCACAGATCGCAAGTCTGTCGGTGTCCTCACAATAGGGCGCAAGGACAGGCGTCAGTTCCATCAATGCACCCTCCCTCCCCGGTCTGAGAGTTTGACAACAGACAATCAGTTTTACAGCGTAACAAAAGCAGACTGACTTATACTTCAAACGATGGGCTGCTAATGTGGACCGGACCTCGACAAGCAGCGGGTAATCATCGGCCCGGCCCACTAAGATGTGAGCGGCCGCATCTTGCAGATCTTTTGGGTGGACTGGGCATTATTAGAAGTCAGTGCCAGTTCGAATAGCTTGAGAAACGCTACAATGTCGATGCTTGAACACAGTTGTCCCTTTTCATCGTGACAGTCGGCTCGTCACTGCATTCAGTCCGCAATGAGTGATCAGGAGCTCGGCCTCGGCGGTATCCAGGCAAGCTTGGATCGCGACGTTGACAATTGAGCATTAACATGCAGACGGAGCCTGTTTGAGTTTGCTTTGGCGGCCGGACCGACACCGAAGCAGCCGTGAATTTCTGTTTCTATGGTCTCTTGCTGCACTCCATTCGCCGCCGCCTCAGGTCCTCGGGGATCATTTCGTTCGCTCGCTCGCCCTTCCTTCCCGTGTTTGCAGGGCGGACGACTCGGTGATGGGTATTGGTGACTTCTGACAGTCCCATAATTAGTGCTGTCTCTCATTAATCACCCCTGCAAGTAACACGTGTTAATCAGCAAGGTGAGATTTCTTCCCAGCAGAAAGTGGACAAGGAGTAGTATTTGTAGCAAGTGATTGCGAATCCCTATACCCCACTTATCACTTGGTGACAAGGGGCCAAGAATGAGGGGGACACGGTATTTATCGTCACAGTTTACGTGACATGACGATAAGGACCGACATCTCTCCATCACGTGGCTCTTTTGACCCTGAGGCAGTAAGGCAGTGATAGGGCAACAACAAGGCAACGAGCAGGAAAATGTCGCAGATTGCGTTATTTTATCCTCTTGGGCTGTCAGTCAGTCTCAGTCTTGACGGCCTCATCACGCTCCTCTTTTTACTTGAGTCTACCAGGTAATTGCCAGACTGCATGCTCTTCCCACGAACATCCTTCACCCTTAAAAGACCTGCCTGTCGCCCGAGTGCCATCGTGATACTTCCGCCGTCGTCTCTGGCAGCGTAGTAGCTATCATGCGTTCATGCAAATGGACACCTCAACCCTCATTGCCTTGGGTACATGTCCCACAAACCTTTCCCGCTGACTGACTATTCTCAACAGCCACAATTTGTGAGCCGCGGTCGCCTCTACGCGTTTGTGTACACGAATGTCAGCGATACCGATTGACGCACAATAGGGTCTCTTGTGGCGACTGTTATCGATGAAACGCGCCAAGCGAGAGTCAATAAGAACATGCGCATGCACGAAGGAGCAAAGACAGCGTCCTTGCGCAGCGTGGAATCAGAGAAGCCTCAGATGCACTACCCAAGGTTCAGAAGACCTGATGGAGATGCGCGGCAACAGCAACTGTGAGACGACTAATTAACTTTTGCTTCACAGCAGGCTGGAAAGAAAAGGAGTTTCGCGCGTTCAACAAGTCGCGTCTGGGCGCAGGTCATCCGACTTGTCCTAGTCATCTTCGTTCATGCTATGAAACGGTAAGCACTCTCATGCCATCCGGACGGCCATTTTACCAAGCATCCACCTCGTTCCCCTCCAGCTCTCGTCCCATCCCACTGAGCTTGGAACGTTGAACCCCGGACTGAAGGCGAGCCAGCCAGCTGCGTAGACTTGCCCTGTTGGCTGCGCTGTGGTCTTTGTTGTAGAGACGCATAAGGCATTCTGCCTTTCGTCGGCACAGTGTGTGCTGCTGCACTTATGCTGGCTTTCTTTAGCGGTCGCACCGCCAATTCCACGTCATATTATGCCGCTCCGGAAGGCTTCTGGGCATTGCCTCTCGTGGTCATTTCTCAGGCGGCCTCTTGGGCAGACCTAATTAAGTGTTACGCTTTTCTTCTGTCGACTCTTGAGTCATTCACCTTTTTTTAAATCTATTTCTTTGTTCGAGAGTACCAGAGGTGGGGGATCCACCTTGATCCATGGAAGGTAGAGAGACGGAGGGCGTCGAATAGACCATCAGAACATCCCACGTGCGGGAGCCAAGCTAAGCCCGCAACACCACCACTTCGCATCTGCATGCCCACACCAGGGCTACAGATTCCCACTAGGTTCCGAGTGCATCTTTCCCCAAGCTGGAACCACTGATACCCGACCCGTTAATGACCACCGCCGAGATATTGTGTCAGACAACCGCTAACTGACTGGGTGCCTCTTCCCCTGGCCATCTCGTCCTATAAGTAGGCCCCTCTTTCCCTCTCCTGTCTGACCATTTCACTCCGCCAGCAACAACTGTAGAAATTCTCAGCCCAGTCTTTCTCTCAAAACAAGAACTTCTACCACCACGTCATTCTCCTCAACAATAAAAACAACAACAATCACAATGGACGGCGAACTCTCAAACTCTCACTACATCCGCCGCCCCTCCACTTTCCTTTCGCTCGTACCCGTCGCGCACAAGGACTATGAAGTCAAGTCACAGGCGACGTCTCCCGTCGAGTCCAAGTCTCCAGTCAATGCAAAGATGTCTGTAGAATCCCCTGTCATCAAGGCCACGGAGGTCGAGGAGCACCCAATCAAGACTGTCCGGTCCGACAGCACCAGCAGCCAGGCCTCATTCGCATTCCTCTCGCTCATCCCCACACAGCACCAGAAGACCACATTCTGAGCACTGAACGGTGCTTTAGTTCGTGTACAACTGGATGCATTATTACTTTTTCTTTCGGAGTACAACTGGCATTGGGTATCAAGGGATCACCGCGGCAGAAAATTGCAGCCTGCCTGAGCGACACGCATAACAATGTGTGATTTTTTCCCTTATCTTTCTCTTTATCTGGCACAAATGTACGATGGAATGGGACTTGCGAATGGTTGGGCTACCCTTGACACCGGGGACCGCGGAGGGGGGGAAAGAGGGCGAGAAATTGGCACCGCGAAGGGCTTGGCTCGCGCTCGCGCTCGGGGAGATTAGATTAGATGCTGCGTTTCCATGGTCGAGCATTCTCAAACTCTGTATTCTGCACAAACAGTAACGAATCAATGACATTACTCACACCAACGCACACACATACACACACAATCTACAAACTGGTTCAAGCATATGACCTTTGCATCCCGCTCTAAATGTCTAGTGGGTGCTGCACACCGCCCCTCCTCCCCTCCGCTTGTGGAGATCCAGTCCTCAGCGCACGCACGCACATCTGTCTATCAATCAATCTATCTATCCCACCCCTCTCCACCGCGCAGCGCCGCCAATCTCAACCACCCCCTATTCCGCCAGCCAGCCCTCCATCCATCCAGCCAGCCAGCGGAGCCGGTGTCACCGCGCCAAGAGCCTCTAGCATGCAAATCCCGACTTGGCAATTGGCTTGGCTGTGTCATTGCCTAGTCTTGGCCCGGGCTTGTGTTGTGTCATTATTTGTCTTTGTGTCTGTGTGTGTGTGTGTGCTTCGGGGAATAGAGGGCTCCGAGGAGAGGATGCGGTCATTTGGTGTTTATTGCTTGGGGGATATGTGTGGAGATGTAGAACAGACGTGAACAACAGTAGAAACAGGGGATCAGAGGGTTGTAGTGTGAAGGAATGTGAAGTATCTAGGTAGGCTGCCCTGAGGGGCATGATCAGTAAGGCACAGACACTGAGACTTAGGTCTCACACAAAAACAGCACAGAGACTTTGGGACTGGAACTCAGAAGGCAGCGGCCCGGAGCGGACGAGAAAAGCCAAATTTCTGTGGAGAAGCAGCTACTGTAATTAGTGATTTGTCGGTGCGAAAACGGCTATGATGTGCGTTTTTACGGCGTTTGCGGGGATGGGGCTAGCTGGGGAGGGTGTGGACTGGAGGTGTTAATGAAGCAAGGTATGTGGGTGGATGATCGACGGCTAGTGCGTGCTTGTGTAACGCTGGCTATTGGGGTAGGGTTTAATTAGGATTTTTCTTGGAGGGGCGCATCGGATTTCTGGTTTGGGATGCGTTGAGAGCTTGGAGGCTTGGATGGAGGCTTGGGCGTGTGTGCTGTGGATGGAGAGGATTTGTTTCGGTCCTGTTGTTGTGGGAGTGTGTGTGTGTGTTTGTGTGGTGGTGAGTGAGGTAAGGGATGAGTATACGATGTTTGTGGCAGATTGATGTGCGCCCAGGCGATAAACGCTTGCAGCCTGACGGGTGATTGGCCGCTTCGGATTGCCTATGTAAGCGTGCTGCAGTGCCGGTGCAGGAGGGGATGGAGATGGAGATGGAGTTTTGTACCTGACACTCTGCTGTTAATAATATAAATGCGACATACTGTAGCCTGCTCAGCTTCGGGTGTGGTCTCGGATGTGAACGGATGTGGTCTCGGATGTCGTGCATGAATGGGATTAAGGATAAGTGCGCAGGTATACTACATATAGTATATGGAAGCATAAAAGTATATTGGGAGGCTCGCCAAGAATACGGAATCATGTCCGATGCAATTTGTGGATGTGTCTCCAGGGGATGGATGTGGACGACCTGACATATTTCTTTGTTGAAAGACACCTCATCGACAGCAGACGAAATCAATCAACAGATGAGCACACGAGAATCTAGACCTGCTTATCTTACCAATCTTCACTATTGGTCAACATCCCCAGTCCTCTGTTCCCTTGGAAATTTTCCCCCCTCAGTATCAAGGATGTCTTTCCATCGATCCTCCCTACTACCCCAGATACACAAGGATCCGGCCACGACGACGCAGGTGAGGTGAGGTGCTCAACCTTGGAACTCAACCACCCCGCACTAGTCTCCCCACCGCAGCCTTAGATACAGTACCTTTGCTGTCTCCTCGCATCTCCCGTTTCCCGGACGCCGAACCATCTGCCAAGGACTGCACTGCACTGCACTGCAATGCGATGCGATGCGGCCTTGCATTGCCTTGCATCCTGTCGTCGCCTGCCGTTGATCTTTCCTCGCGGACGACACGGACCGGACTGACGCACACGGACGTGGGGGTGGGTCTTTGCAACAGACCGGTCCAGACCTTGAGATGGCCATCGCCATATATTACCTAGTCAGGCCGCGTAAGGGTTGGGGGTAAATTAGGTTTATGATTTGGACTGTGCTGCACGGTGCTTTTTTTTCTTCAATACATATATACAGGCGTTGGCAATCCCGTTGACATGCTGACACGTCGTGTTATGATGGACGTGCGTAGACGATGACGACATGTATGTATATTGCCTTTTTCTGGGACGGCAATTTGCTTTGCGGTGATTGTATCGATGGTGATAGGATCCAGTTGAGTGCTGTACTTGTAGCTCTGTATGCTTCTTGCCTCTATACTCTATATGATACCGATGATGCTGTATGCTCTGCGACTGTTGTTTAGTTGCGGAGATGTGCATTAGCAGAAGAGAGGAAAGTATATTTGTCTCGATGGCGCCACTACGTTAACGTCATTCTTCCCGGTGTGTTCCGCTGCCTCACCGAATTTTGGCTGTGTTAGCATAAAGTCCATGAATGTGTTGTTCCTGTTTTCAAGCAGATCTCAACACCCTCAGCCTGTCATTCCATGTAGACGTGGGACGCCGATCACGGAGGGCGGGCTATCGTACAGGGTCTGCCACGGTATTCACAGACGTAATATTGTTGATGTGATTTTAGTGGGGCAATAAAGGCACGATCTATCCCTGCTCACCGTAAGCTGACATGTTGTTAGCATGTTAATAAGTTGTGATTGGACTGTCCTTACTGTTAGCTGACGTGGCATACACAAAACACAGTTTTGACATCTTTGTGACAAGTCATACGGTAGCTCGCTCGACGTCGACATGATTCGTGTTGATGATTAGATGGTTATGATTAATAACATAGTCATCCCTGCGACTGGGTACGAGTGTACGAGTCCACATAGACGTTTTCGAGCATTCTCAGGTCTGTAACAGTCGAAGAGTTCCCTAAGTCTGAGGACTCAGTAATGGTACGCTCAGACTGTCCGACCATCAAGTTTCATATTAGCGAGGCAGAAAGTTTATTGCGACTTGGGGTAAGACTAGCGTCCAAGTACATGCAGCGATGAAAACCAATGAAAGTTGTTGAAGCTATCAACTGGAAAGACTTCATGGTCGTAATGGATAACTTTGTTAAACACGTACCAAAAGAGGCTAGACCAGATTTCAAGAGGTGCCTCATTTCGCAGTGCACTTTTCTTCGTGTGGCAGCAAGTCTATGACTTCTACCTCCTCCTCTAGGCTATTCTAATCTTAAGCAGAAGAAAGCTCAATTCGTCTATCATTTGTACTCTGCGACCTGATTCACTCGCATATCAGGCGCTAGTCACCCGCGTGTTCATTGAGCCATAATGATTCATCTAAGCGCTATGCAGAAATTGGGCATTGAGAGGACATCTGCTCAAATAGACATATCAATACACTGAGGCTAAGTAGTTTTTAAGAGCTCTTGTCATCTCTAAGCTTGCAAGGCCATACCTCTACCCAATTTAAGGATTTTTGCAACAAACTCGGGTCCGTGGCTTCGAACAACAGATCATCTGTATTATGGATGTATATACTACGGATCCATCAACGATGCTCACGGCTGCTGCAGCCCTGAAGCTGGTGACGGCATTCTTCGAGAAGGAGTGGCCTCAGACGATCGAAGAGGAAATTGATTTGCGGAGGGTGACTGGAGGATTTTGCCATCGTTTACATCTTATAACTCGCAACAATGAAGCCCGACAAGAGCCGAAGTCGATACTGATTCGTCACTTTGGCTTGGAAGGCAATGAGAATGAACCTCTTGAGAGCTCTACCACCTTGTCGGCTGCGGAACAAACCGTCATTTATCACGAGATGGGCCGCAGAGGTTGGGGACCAAAGGTGTACGGCGTCTTTCGCGGTGGAAGACTAGAGGAGTACATCGACGCACACGTTCTTACCGCCGCAGAATCGATGCAACTTGACATCAGGCATGACATAGCTCGCAGTTTCGCCCGGCTGCATTCTTTGGAACTTCCATTTCGTAAAGACTCCTTCACACGAGTTATCTGCGAGTTCAAAGGTGTAGCGAATAAGAAGGCAGAGGCAGTGCAGAAGCTTCTTGGACTGAGATCATCAAAAGCCACTCAACTTGCTACATTCATCCGTAACATGGACTGGAGCAGAGAGCTTGACTGGCTATCAGAGCTCTTCGAAAGATACAAGTGCAAGCGGTCCATCGCAATCATAGACGTAAACTTCTCGAACGTGTTGGTGAAGAATTACAAGAGCGAGAACCAGATTCTTCTAATTGACTACGAAACAGCAGCGTACAGCTATAGAGGAATCGATATTGGCGGCCATTTCTCTGAACGAATGTACTGCTGGAGCCACCCCGACAACGTTTTATCTGGACATCCTGCGCCAAATCTAGAGGAACAGACCGCCTTTTGCGAGTCTTATATGCAAGAGATGCAGGTCTTGGGCCAGGAAACAACAAACGATACAGTTTCTCATCTGATTCTAGAATCAGAAATTGGTCGTATGTACCAAATGGTGTTCTCATTTCTGATGTGTATAAGGTTCGAAGGGTTTGAGAGCAGCTCCCCACTCGTAGTTGGGCTTGTCAACATGGCTGAGATCTACTGTCAGCTGAAACATGACTTTGCATCGCGCCATGAAACACCTTGTTGAAGGCGAGGCGAGAACGGATATTGACGTCGTTATGTCCTTTGTCACACCGGCGAGTCAGACGGATCCAAGACTGGTTAAGGCTCTCGAAAGTAGGAAAGGCTTAGTCGAAAGCATACCACATCCCTTGATCCACTGATCACTTTAGATTAGGAAGCTCCTAGTCTGCTATAGACTATGATGTCGCTCCTTGGTTCGCTTTTTGAAACTGCGACACGTCCGAAAGCCTGAACGAGCCCCAGGATCAAGCATCGGAAGATGAATTATAACACAGCAATATGAGCCTCATCATTTCCGCAAGGGAGATGCCAGTGTTGCCTCCTGGCTGCCACGTTTTCTGCAGAATTGATATCCTAGATCATGTTCCGATTCACCGCTAATTCCGCCAATTCCGCCAGTGACGCTCGCAAGCATCAAGCATCAATCAACCTCGCCGCCGCCCCCTGCGGTCCGCTTCCTCACCTGTTTCATTGTGAAACATGAAGTAAATGATCCTCATATTGCAGAATCATCCTAGATTACAACCGATAGTTCCCTGAAACACATGTCGGAACGACTAGGCTGGATTGTACCCCGGTCAACTGACCGCCCTACCGACTCATCAATATGCTACTCAGTGACTGAATATGTAATGTCAATCGAGTGTCACGAATTCAAGTAGATCACTTGTGATTAAAATCATTTATTTTGAACTTTGACGGTTTCCTAGGGAAGAGGCATACTTTTGTTATTGATTGAAAACGGTCATTGTCTTGGCAATGAACAGGGCGTAACACAACAGCCCTAAGTTCTGTATCTTCGACAGTCCTCACAAACTCTCACCGAGCAATGTCTGCATTCCAAGATATAGTTCCAGTGTCTGGTCTCGCAGAATTCACAGCGGAAAGATCGGCGCCCCCCGTTTCCGAAGATACGTTGGAACTTCCCTGGATGGACGCATTCATGATTCTCGAGCAGCCGTTCATGGACTTCTCTTACGCGTTGCTGCCGATGATGCACAGGAACATCGGGGTCGCGATCGACAACCTCCTCCGCACGCTCAAGCATGCGATTGACGTCTGCATTGGTACAATGGCATTTCTTCCACTCCGTCCCGCAAACATAGCAGAACTCCGCTTTGCAACGACATCTGAAATAATATCAGTATACAACGCTGTGATATAGACTCGATTTAAAGTCCTTGACTCACGTCATGTGAAAACATCCCGTACGGAGATCTACGAGACGACCACACTTATAACAAGTCTGCCATCCCATTGCGCGTGCCAGACTCTGCGTCTCCAACAGCTCCGTATCCTCTGGACACATTCCTTTCGCGTGTGTTTCATTTTTGCATATCACACAAGTCGATTGGCTACAACGCGCACAAATAGCTGTCTTCGTTGCCGCATCTACCGTATCAGGTCGGAGAAATACGGAACACTGTCGATTGCTACAGTAGACTCTGTTCATGGTCTCGAATTCGACACTTGCTGTTTCAAATGCATTTCTCTCCTCTGGGCTCATGCGCGCAAGGACATCGTCTCGGGGGATATCCTTTTTGCAGCACCGGGGCGGGAAACGAGTCTCATCCTTTGTAGCCATTAGGAAAAGTGTCTTCGCGCATGACACACAATACCGGTGGCCGCAGCCAGATCCGATGATTGATGTAGCATGTACCCTGCGGCTACACACTCCACAGACGTAGGTTTTCTTGAGCCGCTCGAGGGCATCTGCCTGTTTCTCGCGGAACGATATGGAGGGTCCCGCATTGACTGCATCGTCGTCACTGTCCTCGTAGATTACAGAGGCGGCAGCTACTGACTCGGCAACCGTTGAAATATACTCCTCTAGGCCAGGTGAGGCAACTTCGGTCTCAGTCGCTTTTTCCAGCTGCGGGTCACGTTCGCAGAGGTTCAACGCGGCGCGTCGGTCCTCAAGCAACTGGATATCTCGCGAGGTGAGAGTAGAGATCATGGTCCCATCAGTGTGGACGGCGGCACCGATGCTATGCGCCATCTTCTGATCTTCGAGAAATACTTTGTAGTCCACCAGGTCGGTCTGAAAGCTTTGAAATGCTACTTCAAGATCAGGTGGGCTGCCAATAGGATGTTTGCCCTTGCTCTGCTGAACGAACAAGCCAAGCTCTTCCATCTGCATTGACAAGGCGATCATTTCATGATCGATGTCGACTGGGTGGTTAGCTCGATGGACGGCGGTGTCGGCCATGACGAGGATAATTTGTAGGAATATCGGCTCTCGCTATTCGTACGACGGAGAAAAGAAAGAGGAGTAGCAATTGTCGCGAGGATGTGACGTGCAATTCAGTACGTTGAAGTCACGGCTAAGAACGACACGACGGAGCTCCAAAGGAGACGGGCAGAGGGCCGTATAAGTATGAGGTCTTCATCCAGCAGGTATTTAGGCTTATTACATTGGATGTAACACGCAAACATGCATCTATACGGAAAGAGGTGGAAATAGTAACAGGGTTTGCTGCCGTGATGATAATGCTGACGTCGTATCTACCTGAGGATCGAGGTGCGAAAGAGATATGGGCACTGACTGTACCTCAGGACACAATAGACAAGGGCCCTTTCATGGTTTTCCCAAGCCTATGTCGTCATTGTGATCTATGGACTTGACGGTATAAAGTAGATATGCGGTGTCACGCTGTATTTACATCCTTGACGCTCGGGATGCTGGGACATGTTGTGTGCTCCCTGTTCTGCGGCTTGCCATCCGTTGTTTGGCAATCTACAATGGGCACTCGTATGACGTACTCAACCCGCGCAGGACAATGTAGTCTTACTCCATGTCTAAGGATACGCTGAGCAAAAAGTTGGCGAGGGCCAGACCACATCAATTCATTTTGGGCAGCGCAATTGGAAGACATCAACCACAGTAGTTCGCGCACAGACCATATCGCGGTGCTGGCCAGGCCCCTGAATCTGATCGGAAGCCCCGCGCTTAGGTTTGGAATGCCCCGCCAAACTTCAGGAGCTGAAAACAGTTTCCATTTCTCAAGCTTCACTCCTCTCTCTCCCTGAACCCTTCTCATATTACCTATATTTCTTTCTACACCTAAGACTATATCTTGTTCTTGACGTTCTACAATAGAATCTTGCGCCCAAGCGCATACTACTGCCATGCCTACACTACGCGTTGAGCCCTCGCTGCTCTTAGCTGCGCTGGTGCTGCTCGTGTTCTGGGCGCGGCCCGCCCATGCCTTTGGTGCTGGGAATATCGCCTCTATGGCCAAGATTGAGGGACAGAACTGGCGTCATGGAGATATCGAAGACACTCTCCTGACCCTACTCATGAGTCGCGCCACGAACAAGAAGTTCAGCAAGATGGACGTCAAAAGAGTCTACTTCGGGAACTGGCTAAGAGATTACTCACAGGCTGTCGATGTACGACCATTGTATCACATGCCCAGTGGGACCGATTGCTGATTGGACACAGGTTGGCACGCTCAAGATGGTCAGCGGCGAAGCTATTCGTATCCTGCTCTGGATTCTGGGCTTCATGAGCTTCGGCTATGGAACGAAGGAGTTCGAAGTCACCACGGAAAGACTTGGCTGCTACAGGTGTGATTCTAATGAGACCTCTCTATACCCAAACTGACATAATTTCAAAAGACCAGAGGAACACATCGATAACCCCAAAGACTACGCCGACAACATTGATGCCCGACAATATGATCGAAGACTTCGTGGACCTGTCGATGAGAGACGTGAGCTCAGCATTGACGAGCGCACTGGTCTGAAAAATTACATTGCGTCTGAGGATATTGGCATTACAACTTCTGCTGGTATGGTCCGTGACCTTTTCAGACGGTGTGTCGACCTTGGCCGCCGGTACAACCGTAGCAAGAATAAGGCCGAATTCTACGAGGCTCTACGCTTGTTGGGAACTGGGCTCCATTGTTTGGAGGGTGAGCATAGCGAGCTTGAATTTCATGGGGTCAGTAATTGACCAACTATCAGATTACTCGGCCCATTCAAATTACACCGAATTGGCTCTAATTGAGCTGGGTGAGCGCGACATCTTCCCTCACGTCGGTCGCCGGACACAGGTGCAGATTCGTGGCGCACGCAATCAGGTCTATCCAATTGTGACCGGGACATTCGGTGGCGTTGACTTCCTTCACTCCGTCATGGGTGAGCTTTCGGACAAGGCCACTCAGTCGGAGATTCAGGAGCTTGAGGGGACCATTGCGCAATCACAGAATCAGCAAGCCAACAACAGTCTCTTGAAAGATCTGCTTGACAAGCTCCCGGGAGGCATCTTTGGTGGAAGCGACGAGAAGGGCAAGGCCGATGAACTCCAGGCCAATGCCCAGGCAGCCCAGATGCAAAACATGAACATCTCTCCTCGTCAGCCAGAAGCGTGGGCGAACCAAATGCAAGAGATGCAACGCCAAATATACCCAATCATTGAATATCACGACGAGGTTATGCAGGGCATCAGTGAGACCATTGACAAGATTCCTGTTCTCCCGGAACTGGTTGAACAGATCCAGGAGCAAGTCAATGTCTTTGTCTTTTCACTCCTTGCCCCATTCGTGCTTCCAGTCATCCGCCAAGTCAAGAATGAGCTCGCCACTGGGTCATCGGAGATCATCCAGAGCTCCCGGGAAAAGCAGCTGATCGTCTTCCGTGATGACAATTGCACCGATCCAACGCATTCCATGCTATCAAAAGACCACTTTAGTAATGTCTTGAACGAACCTGCTGGCAAGATTGCGTCACAAGTCCTTAAATGGGCAGTTCCTCAGCTCGTGGAATGCTGGGACGATGAGGGAATCGATGCTGACCGCACCATCCACCGCATCATTAACGGTGTATTCCACCATCCTGCTATGCGTGACTACGGCGACGACGGTGCCAGGGATGGTCGCCAGCTCATGTTTGGCGTTGTCCAGAAATGGTGGGGTGAGATGAGCCGACGCGAACAGGACGATCTCCGCGATAAACTTAGCCGTAGTGGTGTCGAGAATGGCCGCAACCACAAAGAAGGTGTCCATGACAAGGGTCACGGATGCGGAAAGCCTCTTGGTATGCCTAACGTCGGGACTGCCAACAGCTCTGGAGCTATTGGAGGCGTTCTTGGTGCTCTTGCAGGCGCTGGTGGTTCCTCATCGTCGGGTGGTAAAGGCGGAGACAAATATACCAAACAAGTTGGCAACCTTGCATCCGAGGCTGTCGGCGGTGGTGCGCTTGGCGGACTCGTTGGGGGTCTTGTCAGTGGTGTAGGAGCCGACCTTCTTGGTGGCGCGTTCGGAGAGCAGGAGAAGAAGAAGTCCAAAAAAGAGAAATACAACGATGATGGATCTTACACGGAGACATATCAAGAAAAAGGACATAAGAAATCTGGATCCCGCGGCCGTGAAGAAGAGCGATTTGGTCAAGCCCAGTACAGCCAAACGACCTATCCTGGTGGCGGACGTCGCGAAGAGTTCTCTCGCTTCGAACAGGATGGTCGAGGTGGCGAGCCGTACGGAGTACAGCAACGCGTCGAGACCACCGGTCATGGACGGGCCGGCTATGAACAGACTGAACAGACACGTTATGATCGACCGGGAGGCCAATGGGAGTCGCGCGAGTCACGTGAAGGCTATGACAGCCGTGGCGACTATTACCAGACTGAGACCAAGTAAGTGCACCCCAGATCGGTGTGTTACCTATTGCTAACAGCAGAAGATCCTCCGGCAAGAAGTCGAAGAAGCAGGACTCTGAGGATGAAGATTCCGAAGACAACGGTGAGGACGACTGGAAGAAGCGTGAGAAGAAAGAGCGTAAGAAGCGTGAAAAAGAAGAGAAGAAGCGCCGCGAGCAAGGATATGGCGGTGGCCGCGACAATGATTCCGATGAGGAGAAGAAGTACAAGAAGAAGAGCAGTGGCGAGCACAAACGCCGCTCTGGCGAAGGTGGCCACCAGCAGTCTTACGGCCAAGAGCGGAGCTATGGCCAAGAACAGTCATACGGTCGTCAAGAACAGTCTTATGGCCGTCAAGAGCAGTCATCATACGGTGGTGGTCGTGAGCAGGAATCTTCCTATGGAGGAGGTGGTGGCTATGGTCGCCAGGAGCAGTCTTACGGCGGCGGAGACTCAGGCGGATACTCGCGACCTGCTGAAGGATACGGCGGAGACTCAGGGGGATACGACGGCCGTCAGCAAGGCTATGGAGGAGATTCAGGTGGTCGCCAGCAAGGCTACGGGGGAGATTCAGGTGGCCGCCAGGAGAGCTACGGTGGTGACTCGGGCTACGAACGCCGTGAAGAAGGCGGTTACGGTGGTGACAGTGGCGGCTATGGCGGTGACTCAGGGGGATATGGCGAGCGTCGTGGCGGATATGGATCTCGTGGATATGGCGGGTCGGACTAAACCAATACCCCTGGAGGGTTAGTGCTTGGTAGCAATTCAGTTGAGATCACGGTGGGCGAGCGCAGTATTAGAAGATGAAAATACCCATGTAGTTGTATAAGCGCAAGCTGAATGCGAAAGGTCCGATAGTCTGAGTTTGGCCGTTATCTAAAACGTATTATTATATATGAAGCCCTTTTTGTTCGCCTAAGCAACAGGCAACCGTTAGCATTGTCTCATGTCTTAAATGCTTTCTCGCACATATTACAGCTCTTAACAACTATCACCACTTCTCCCTCATGTGCACCTGTAGTGATAGTACCGCTGATAAAGGATTGCATTGCTAAGGTTCCTTGGTGTTTTGAACGTCGCGTCATTGAGATTGACCGCGATTTCTTGGCGGTGTCATGAGAAGTCGTTGATTGGTCTGTCGGATGCGCTTGTCCTTACAGCACCAAAAAAATCGGCAGCTCAACAACGACTTCTGCGCTTCATCACCACGTTATAAAGCACCGCCTTCACAATGAACAATCACAAGGACAACCACATACATCTACCTGCCCCCCAGCATGGACACAGTCGAACGAGCGGCCATCCGGCAAGATGAGCAGAAACACATACCCGCAGACTCGAACGATGATCTCGACGTCGAGAAAGCTACCAAACTACGTATGCTTCAATATCATCATCCTCACCACCCTTCAAGCACCATACTAATCCTTCTCTCCAGCACATAACCCACCATGCGCAAACACCCCCTCCGCAGCCGACCTCCCCCCTCTCCGCGGCCTCTCCTTCCTCGACCGCTTCCTCGTCCTCTGGATCATCCTCGCCCTCGCAATCGGCATCATCCTCGGCAACCTCGTCCCCAGCACCGGACCCGCCCTCCAACGCGGCCAGTTCGTCGGCGTCAGCATCCCCATCGCCATCGGCCTCCTCGTCATGATGTACCCAATCCTCTGCAAAGTCCGCTTCGAATCCCTCCACCTCCTGCTCCGCACCCGCACCCTCTGGCTCCATCTCGCCCTCTCATTCCTCCTAAACTGGATCATCGCCCCCTTGTTCATGGTCGCTCTGGCATGGGCCTTCCTGCCCGACCGCCAGGACCTGCGCGAGGGCCTCATCTACGTCGGCATCGCGCGCTGCATCGCCATGGTGCTCATCTGGACCGACCTCGCCGGCGGCGACGCAGACTACTGCGCCGTCCTCGTCGCCGCAAACAGCATCCTCCAGATCGTCCTCTTCGCCCCCTTTGCCGTCTTCTACATCCGCGTCGTCTCCCACTCGCGCTCCGCCGTCACAGTCAGCTACGACCGCGTCGCTACCAGCGTCGCCGTCTTCCTCGGCATCCCCCTTGCCGCCGCCGTCCTCACCCGTTTCGTCCTCCTCCGTATTCTCGGCAGCGAGGCCGCGTACCAGCGCCGCTTCATCCGCTATATTGCGCCCTTTAGCTTGCTCGGCTTGCTATACACCATTGCCGTGCTCTTCGCGTCGCAGGGCGCGCATGTCGTCGGGCAAATCACGTCCGTGCTGCGCGTCTGTGCGCCCTTGGTCGTCTATTTCCTCGTTATTTTCGGTGTGACGGTGGGGCTGTGCTGGAAGCTCGGGTTTGGGTATCGCGTGAGTTGTACGCAGAGCTTTACGGCGGCGAGTAATAATTTTGAACTTGCCATTGCCGTTGTGGTTGCGGTATATGGGGCGGGGAGTGGGCAGGCGTTGGCTGCGACGGTGGGGCCGTTGATCGAGGTTCCGGTGCTGGTTGCGCTGGTTTATGTGGTGAGGTGGGTGAGGGGGAGGGTCGGGTGGAAGGATTAGGATGGCGTGGTTTGGGCTTTTGGGATTGTAGCTTTGTTGTCGTTGTGGTTTCAATGGAATGCATGCTAGAATCGTCTATCATGGTCTAGGACTTCTGTCAGGCTGATGTTCGCAGGGGATTTGTGTATTCACTACTATCAGCCCCTGCCTGAAACGAAAAGCAGCGCGTGACTCTCGACTAGGACACATAGATGGATAGATAAGTTTGCGTATATTGAACTAGATGTTTTCTGTCGATCAAGGCCGTTATCAGATTCATTTCCAGCGCTGTACCGCTCAATCCCTCTCTTGACACATTAGAAACACTGTCTCGCAGTGGGAATACAAAGGTTATTACAGGTAAGGAAAGTACGGTGCGGCACGCTCGCTATACGGTGCAAATCATTCATACATCCTCTCCATCCAGCCGTCCAGCCATCCATCGCCGACAGGTGCATCCACCCCCTTTCTCTACGGTGCCCTCTCCGCCTTCGATCACATTTACAACCAGCCGAAGTACTTCCACAACAGGTTCATCCCACTCAACAAGCCCGTCACGCTCGTAAACGCAATCATGGGCCCGAAGACGCCCGCATACCCGATCCCACTGTGTCCATGCGCCGCTGCGCCATGCACAAGCCAATCACTCAACGGGCCCGAAACCATATTCCCAATGCCCCGACCTAGTACCAGGAGCGAATACACTGCGAGGGGATCCGTATAGCCGTGTCCGGCGCGCTCGGCCCGGCGCGCAACCTCGCTCATAACTTCGGGCCAGATAGACGGCCAACCGCCGGCAAAGAGTCCATACGCAACACAGAAGGTGTATAGCGCAGGGAGCGAGCTGGAAAAGCCCCAGAGCAGGGCTGTGGAGAGGGTGGCACCGAGCGCGGAGACAGCACCGCAGGTGGTCGGGTGCCAGTGGTCGGCGAGTGCACCCATGGCGACGCAACCGATGGTGGTGGCGCAGTTGAGCACGATGAGGGCGAGGACAGATTGGGTGTCCGAGGCATTGAGGGCGACGCGGGCGTAGAGGGGCAGGTAGATGGCCGGGAGGAAGTAGCCGGCGGCCTGTATGAGGTTTGCGAGCTGGTACAGGGCGAAGACGCGGGAGCCTAGACAGCGCATGCTGAGCAAGCCGGTATGTTCGTCTGAAGTGTCGATCTGGCGCGGCTTGATGTAGTATGCTAGGGGTACTGTTGCGATGCATGTTACGCCGGCCCAGATTTGCATTGTGCTTGCGAAGCCGAGCTCGCGGAGCATGCGTTCGAGGAGGGGTGGGAAGACGACGCCACCGAAGCCGCCGGCGCTGAACATGATGCCCATGGCTAGGGATTTGCGCTTGATGAACCATTGGTCGATGTAGATGATGCAGGGGCAGAAGGCGAAGCAGCCTGCCAGGCCGAACGGCACACCGAGCACGGCGATGAGCTGGGGGACTGTGACACACATCGAGCTTGCGGCGAGGGAGAGGGAGGCGACTAGAAGGCCGGCTAAAGTGAACCATCGAGCAGCGTGGGGAAGGCGGCGGCATAAAGCAATGACGAGGGGTGTTCCCATGTACAGGATGCCCTGAGAAGCGTGAGTCAACAACAGTCAGGCTTGTCAGTTGGATGTACTCACTGTAGTTGTCGTCCCTATAGCAGCGATGTTATTGGCGCCAGCAAACGGTGGGTGACTGCTGTAGTAGTCCTGGAAGACCCCAAACGACAGCCCGAAGCCTGGAAGATGTGTACTCAGTGGGTGTACCAAGGAATATTGCACGATTGTACTCACCGAAGACGAACGCCTCAACTACCCAGCATGCTGCCAGGAACAGCCAGGCCTCTCTGCTACTATCGGCCTTTGCAGGCGAGGCACCAGGCGTATAGACTTGCTGCCCGGCATCTGGAGCAGCCTCCTCTTGTGGCGTGGTGACGTCCTTGGGTAGAAGCGGGTCACGCTCTCCGGGCTGCCGTGACGCTGGAGACATATTGAGAGACGGCGAAGGAGTTGGCGAGGAGAGGATGAGAGGCGTGAGATGAGGAGTGAGGAGGGGGGAGGGCAGAGAGATCAACTTGAGGGACGAGAAGAGGAGAAGAGTGAAAAGAACTTCAATTCGTGGTTGTCATACTACGTAGTCCGTGCTCCAAGGTCCGATCCGGGAAGAGCCCACACTATCTGTACTACCATTACAGCCACTCCCATTGCGCCGACACGACATAACAAAAGAAAAATGATTAGTCAATACACACCCATCTAGCCAGCCATCAGCAAGACATTGTGACGTAGTCCGTGCTATACATCTCCTATTCCCGATCCAGTAATCCCTGCACAAACAATATGCATGGTCAGATCAAAATCCGATCTCTAATCCCAGCAACGAATCAGAATTTGCTCTCTCCCCTGCCCTCCCAGCACTGTGGGTCCATCTCCCAGCCTGACGGGCTCCAAATCCTGGTCCTGGTCGCGGATCCATCCATTCATCCGAATCGATGTATAATATATATATATAAAATGTTTGATATTCAATGTCAATCATCCACTAAATAAACGTCTTATCTCTTTCTGCTCTTCAGCACCACTAGCAAACCAGGTTTTTCCCTGCGATAAGTAACATACCAGCGAGTCCAGCTAACGACGACTTTGGCTAGCTAGCATAACACACATAGCATAGCATAATATAATATGACAAACATAGCCTTATTCCTATGATCAAAACACAACATCTTTCGCATCTATAGTTTCGCAGGAGCTTACCACTTACGTACTCTCTGTCTACTTTCCAGTCTCTTCCCAGTATCGCTCCTCTCTATATCGCGTCTCATATACCTGAAACCTTCATCTCACAGAGGCAACCTCACGATCGTGTTTTGCACTGTCCCATCATGTCCAGACAATCCCCCCGTTAAAAGACTAATCTCTTTCTACCACTTTCTGCAACCGCCCTGCACAAATTCTCGGCTTACTTCGAGTGAGTCCAAGCTGGATGTAAGACGCGGACTCCGGAGAGCAAGACTGACTCAATCAATCGATAAAACACAGGCCGCCAGCACATTAAAATATAAGCCATACAAAACCCTACACTTTACACACAGCACAGCACAACACATAACACAGCACATCACACACAACACACATCAAACGCATTCCGCAATATAAAAGGATCACACTGTTCTATTCTTCTTCTCAAACAAGACTTTCACTACTCCTTCTATTCCATTCCGCCCCAACACGCAATTTTTTTTTAATCGCTTTACCCTACTATCCTTCCTTTTCCACCTCAGGACTCTTGAGTTGTCGGGTATTTAATGCCAACAAGAAAGAATCGCAAAGCAAAGCAACACCCCCATAACAAAAAGCAGAATGATAGAAAACCCCAGGTGCATGCTTCCCGGCCCCCCAAAAATAACCGCGCGGAAAATGCTGCATGAACGAGAGATGGCGCAATGCAGAATAGCAAGATGTGAATATGATACTGTGATATGTGGTATGCATGATATGCACGAAGCTGCCGCTGCGTGTGCGACCTGTATAAAATGTGGACAAAAGGCAAAAAAAACATTAAACTTTGGAGGGAACAAAACGCCGTCGCTAAATGCCTGCTACCTTTCTTTCTTTTTCGGTTCTCTGTCTTGCGCCACGGCTTTTGGGGATGTGTGTGTGAATGTGTATATATGTGTGCGTTGATGATGGACAAGAGACATGCCCGGAAGCGAGTGACTGGAGAATATACATGAGAGGAGCGCGGATATGACTCGTGGTGGTAGTGGTACCCGGTATAATGAGGGAGGTATGACGTGGGTATTACTAGTGACTTTTGTTTGATAAAGGATGAGAGGGCTCGTGATGCGTCCGTGCGCGTATCATGTGTATGTATGTAGGTGCGTAAATGAGTGGATGTACCGTTTATACATCGCGCACATGCGTCGCCGTGTGCAGCTTGCTCGGCACGTATTGGCTACTGCGCGTGCTCATCGCGCTTTGGCGTCCGTTCTGGATATTCAGCCGGGCGCCCAACGGCGTGACACGACCCGGGGAGTGCGAGTCGTCGAAGGACATGCTGCGCGACGACGGCGCGCCAGACGGACCGCGTGAGTGGCCGCCGCGGGCATCAGGCGACGACTGGCGAGTGCGTTTGAGCATCGGGCGTGCGACAGCGATGCTCTCGTTGTCGCTATCCCAAGTCTCCGGGGTGAGGTGACCGAAGTTCTGGCGCGAGGAGGAGGGACCTTCGTCGTAGTAGACGGAGGAGAAGGAGGTGGCGCGGGAGCCGTGCTTCATCCAGGCGGGCTTGGGGTGTTCCATCTTGGCCATCTGCTTGTCGAGCGTAGCGCTGGAGCGGTTGCGCTTCGAGTGCATCTTCTCGGCCAGGTCTGCGCCGTCGGTAACGTCGGGTACCATACGCTCTGGCATGCCCAGCATCTCGTAGTTGGACTTGCCGATCCAGAGCATCTGCTCGTGCTCGCGCAGGTAGCGGTCGCCGGAGAAGGACTTCTGCACAATCTGCCTCGCCATCATGCCGAGCTTGCGGCGATGGTCGCTCTTCTCGTACATGCGGCGGGTGATGATCTCTACGTCCTGAGGTGTTGGCTTGATTGGCAGGATTGGAGCTGGATGGGCTGGGTCATCATCAGCGTAGGCTGCCCATTGGTCGATCATGGCGAGCAGATTGATTTGGGCTCGGGCGAGAGCGTAGGCGTCGTTGGGTGCTACAACCTCGCTGTAACGCTCATTGTCGTCTGGATCAGTCAAGACGCGAAGGGAAGCACCCACATCGGTACAGACCACAGGCGCACCAGTCAGGGCAGCTTCACCTAGCGCGAGAGGCAGACCTTCAGACACGGAAGAGTTCAGGAACAGCCATGTGCTTTCCAGCACCATACCGGGATCAGCAGTACCGCGAAGTGTCACCTGAGTGCCGAGAGCTTTGCAAGCGATAATCTCTTGACACTCCGAAGAGTAGACTGGAGCTTTGTTGAGAGCACCGTAAATGTCCAGCACATAGTCCTTGAACCCCCATTCATTGGTAATGATGTCTGCGGCGAGAAGAGCAGTCTTGATATCCTTGGCAAACCAGACGTGCGACAACATAGTGACTGTTGGCCTCTTCGTCTTGATCTCCGAGACTGGCGCGAACTTCTGCATATCGGTAATACCATTGACGATGGGGTCAACCTTGCGCTTGAAGACATTGCGATGAGCGATGGTGCCATTCGACGTTCCAATCTCGACTTCCCACCCTGGATTAAAGAAATCTGCGCATGGAAGAATCTGATCGGCGTGATGAAGAGTGAGAGTAGACGTAAGCTTCATCAGACCTAGTAGCGAGTTGCGGATGAAAGGTGGCATGGTACAGAGCGCCGAGGACAAATAGAGGTTTGTCTCACGCCATGAGATAGCATGATCCCAAATCTGCAATGTACAGTTGCGCTTGATCTTGCATACGATGCCGTAGGACGCAGACACACTGTGGTGAGAGGCCTGGAAGACGGCAGGTATCTGCTCAGGAATTGGGATCGAGAAGATGAACAAATAACGGAACCACAGGTCCAAGGCAGTCTCAAGATGACCTAGAGTTGGCAGCTCAGTATCGAACCACTCATTTGGAGGTTTGGCGTTTGGCATGTCGTCCGCGAGCCACAGGTTGCGCCAGGCTTCCTTGACAATGTCGCTTGTCCAGACCTGAGTCCAGTGGCGCGAGTCCTGGAAATAGGTATTGAGATTCACAAGAGCACGGGTCGCTTGCTTGAGGTCGGCCTGGGTCATGTTGATTGCTCTAGCACCCCTTACAAGAGCTGTCAGAGTGGGTATGAAGTTTTGCTTGATATCATCTGCGGTAGCGCTCTTGAAAAGATGATCGACCTCGCTGTCTAGTTTGTTGGAGAACATGCCATGCTGGGGATGCAGAAAGTCCAGACCCCAGAGAGGAATGATCTTGAGAGACTCTACGTTTTCTTCGGTCTGATGCTTCGGTAGACCAAAGTCGTTCGCAGACTCGACAACCATGTGCCAGCGGATGGTCTTCAGATTGTTGATCAAATCTCTGCGGCAAGCAGAGACACCGCCACCCTCGTTGGGCCAAGTACCGGTATCGACAGCGATGACGTGCAGGGTATCGTCATTGTCTGGCTGCAGATGCTTTGTTCGCGTATAGATCACAGCATCACCACCTTGTCCGAAGCTGAAGAGGTCACTCAAGCGGATAGCAAGGGGTGTCCAGGCACTGATATCGGTCGTGAGTTCTGCGCTAGCCATGACTGCATCAGCATGGAGTGCAAGATAGTCCTCAGCGCGGGCAAGGTTGCACATGTTTCGTGCCTTCCAGTAAGGTCGCAGAAGGGAATCGCCACGAAGTAGTTGTTCATCCATCCAGCGAACGACTACTCCATCGATATCTCGCCGCTTCTTCCAAGCCTTCCACAATTGCGAGCGTGCTCTAGACGTAGATACCGGAATACGACGCTCATTGAGTCTGAGCACCCGGCTGATAACACCATAGTTGAGTGAGCTGAAGTCAAACAGAGGATTGTCGTCAATGAAGGTTGAGTTCGAGGGCTTCTTCAACACCCCGAGCCAATCGTGTTTGATCATCGGAGGGGTATCGATGAAGTGTCCGTTCAATTTGGTAGTGACCGTGGGGTGGAATTTGTGGTCGTAAAGCCAGCTACATTCAAACACGTCGGCACCCTGCACGAAAGTTGCTTCGTGAACCCTTGTATGAGGTATCCAACGCTCAAGCTTCTCGGGATGACGAACCGGCGCAGCGCACCAGCTGACACTACAAGACATGTGCGGAAGAACAAAGTCGGCTCGCAGCAACTCATCATCGTACTTGGCGTTTTTCCGGTAATGGTATTTGAATCTGACAAGATTGCCGTCGAGCATGTATGTACCGGACTCGATGTGACCTTTGTAATTGTACTGGACTACAGCACCTTCCTGCTTACCTCGGATGCAAGTTCTGGACATTGGTATCTTGGTATTGGCCAGAGCGCCGAATTTGGTAAGACGACGTGCTTTGCGGTCTGAGGGATAGTCGTAGATGTACTCATTTTCCATCTCGCCTTTGACAAACTCTGTTCGAGAATAGAGACGCATGTCTTTCGAAAAGGTACTGATCCGTGTCGAGCCAGTCTCGGGCTCCGTCTTCAATGTGCCATTGTAAAAATGCAGCTTAAAGCCCTCATTCGCCGCACGATGAATAAACGCCGTGCTAGTGGTGTCAAGATATTGTATATTTAACCGATTCTTCATAACGGAAATCTTGGTGCCCTTGATATTATTCGAGAGAAGCTTGAGATCTCTGCGGCGGTGGAACACAAACCACGCGATCGAAATCGATTGAACGAAATGCGAGTATCGCCACATCAATGTCAAGAGAAATGTGACGACAGTGCGGACTGGTTTTGGCTTTCCGGTCAGGATGCAGTTTAGTTCTCGATGGTATTCCGGATCGGCAATGGTTGCAAGGACAAAAAACTTGATCCATATACCGATACTATGGTACAAGTGGGCGAACGGTCTCTTGATGGCTGATCCAATTGCCAACAGGAGGGACTTTACAGATCGCGACGGTTTCTTGTCCTGGTAGTAGTGGATATCAGCAGTCTGTTGCTGGTACGCCTTCTCATTCATCGCCATAGGGCCTTGAGTGCGGAAGTAGTTGTAGCGTTGGACTGAGAATAGCGCACCCAGGTCGTATCGAGCAATACGAGTCGAGAGCGAACATCCTTCTTCTGCAGAGACGTTATGCTCGATCCAGTACATGTGATCAGCTGTAATCACCGTCGCTTCACCTAAGCAACGAGACAGGAATGCAAGCCTCATGGTGAGAGGTAGCTCATCCCAAGCGGTTTCACAGTCTACACCCAAAGACAGATGCCTGAGGAGATCCTTGCGTGAAGCCAACGCGAACGCTTCCATCTTCGACTCCGAGAATTCAAACGGCATGGCGCGCTTGACTGCTTCAGAGACTTGGTAGTTGCCGCTGTCGTGAGTACTGCACGTAAGAATTGATTCGGCGATCAAGGCTTGATCGTGCGTCAACCCAAATACAGATTCGGCACATGCATGCATCAATGTCTCTGCAATAGCGCGACAGTTGCTGCTCACGTTTAGCGGATTGTTGATATCATCCGAGTCGGACGCAATTAGTAGCTCGAGGGTGCCCTCAGAGAAACAACTAATAGCCCGGATGTCTGCCTCTGCCTTGACCACTGAACGCATAGAGACAAGTTCGATGGATATTGTACCAGCTTCCCACGCCGACACGATGCGGTGTGCGAGATACGGCGCAGTGGGGAAAGCATCCAAAGCAATACGAGACAGCGCATTCTGGTCACATGACAGCAAAATAGACTTGATCTCAGTCCCAGGATAGCCACTCGAGTGAATGCTGAAAGTCTCTGCTGTTTCACTGTTCTTGATGGCATCGTAGAAAGCCTCGAGCTCACTCTGACTCCATTCGTGGTTGACACCGACACCACCATAGTGGTGGAACTTCCGTTGCTTTTGGGAAAGTTTTGGCTTTAGAGATCTTGGTAGTCCGATCTTTGCAGTGTGAATAGACAGGATGGCGGCTGTCCAAGTACAAATGCCAAGAGCAATAACGTCGTTCCACACATCACCGGCGTTGAAACGCTTGAGAAGTAGTCCTAGGGGGAGACCAATGCCCACAGCGAAAAGAAGGGGATGAATGACATGTGGGCCGGAGAAGATCTTGTTGTACTGGTAAAGCAACAGGCCAGTGTAAGCAGCCACGTACGACAAGAACATCTTGAGTGCGAGCTCTGTGCCGTTGAAGATCCAGATGAGAGCAGCGGTGACGCCCAAAGACCAGACGTGCACACCGAGGAATCGGAACAGGGTGGTCCAGTACATTCTTTGTTTGAACTTCGCATCGTTGACAATAGCTTCGTGTATGTACTTTGTGGAGCGGATCGAGATGGGACTGCTCTGAGCGGCGGCCTGGTGGAGATGCTGCGCTTTGTAGTCCAAGAGGACAGCTCCAACAAGATAGTATGCTAGACCGAATCCTACAGCGACGCGATAGGAAGTGTTAAAGCTCGCACCGAGAATGCCATTGATTGGCTGGCCACTGAGAAGAGTGACCCATCGATCCAACAAGGCCACGAGGAAATATAGCAAGCCACAACCAACTTCATCACCAGCGTTTCTCCAATGAATGAAGGAGTTGTGCAGTCTGATTCCCTTCTGGTTTTGTTGCAAACTGTCGTAGGCGACTTGTGTTTCCAAGTTCCAGGTCGAGCTGTAAGGGATCGGGCGCTTCACATCAGACAAACGACAATACCAGTTCAAGAGGAAGATTGTTGAATCCCAGCATTCGGCAAGTTCGCGCACAAGCTTGTCAGCTTCGCTCTTCTGCCAAAACTTTCGGTTCTTCTCCTTCATCACAGCGTTGTAGAGATGGGCACGACATAGTGCAAGGATGGCTGGTTGGCTGAGACCGTCGAGCGTGTCTTCCTTGCCATTCTGCTTCTCGCGGATGTACCAAGCTTTGACGGCAGCATCGTCCACACATTTGATGTGATTGCACCAATCGACCCAGCGTGAACCAACCCATCTGGTCCCGAGAAGGAGGAAAAACACAAATATAAACATGACCACCAGGTAAATGATCACATCATGATCGGGAATCCACATGGTAATGATGGGAGCAATAAGCAAGGTCGGAATCAGGTAGATAATAACATAGCGCCCATTGAGGAATGACGATCCGGGAAATTGGTATGTCGAAAGCACGGCCAGGATTGATAGATATGCTGTGAATCCCACAAGATAGAAGAAGAAAACGGCACCAATCTGTGGAGACTTGACACCACTAAGAATGACGAATCCGAGGATACCACCAGCAAAAGTAAAGGCGAGACCACCCACAAGACGAGTGATCACGAACATGTTTGCAGCTGAGAAGGCCATGGAGATGAGATAGTAGGTTCCACCAATAGAAATCCAGGTACCAATTACACCGGAAAGAAGTAGAGATATCATGAGAGCGAGTGTAGCATATTGCGATTCTTCGTGAGTCATAAAGGCACTCAAGTACAGTCCTCTTCCAACGCAGGTGAGCAGAATGATGTCGACCAGTGCGGGAATGGCGAAAACACTAAGAAACGTGAATCTGCGGTACGCTGGCATCAGTGCATCCTTTTGATCCGGATCAATATCAGTTTGTGCTGCAGCATAAGCAGAAGCGAATGCTGGAGCGTTGTCGATCCACATTGGCGGCTGGTTCTCGGCTTTGTTGTAGTGAAGTCGATGGCGATCCGACAAGAGTCGACCAAACATACTTGGGGCCACATCGAAGTAGGTCTCACAGCGCGAACCAAGTGCGAAGAGCTCGGCGAAAGCTGCGCTCTGGTCCGAGAACTCGTTGAAGAGAGGGTTGCGGTCTGAGACTTCGAGATAGACTTCATCAAAGGCGGCCTTCCTCGCGGCGCAGAAGACACAGAAGAGGACAAAGTCGGAGCAATAGTCCAGGATATCGTCTGCGGTAAGACTCACCAGGCTCTTGGTAACAACCTCCAGCTTGTCGTGGTCACAAGTGTGAAGGATGCGTTGCCACTCGGCCTCTACATCGCGGAACACCTGTAGAGCGTATCCATTGTCAAAGACACCACGGTGATGCTGACGATACCAATCCATACGGACTTCGACAAGCTCTTCATCGGAGATGGTGCCGTTGATGTACTCAAAATTGGAGACATGCTTGAGTTGCTTGTACGACGGAATGTCGATGAGGACTTCTCGACAAGATCGCTGCAACGAGCTCAACAGCGGACAAGAGTGGTCCCATTCCGAGAAGCGTAAATGCTGCATGAAAAGAAGGACATCGGTGGGAGAGAGGAGTGCGATATCTTGCTCGATGCGCGGCGGGAGTTTGTCAAGCAAATGAAGCCCGGAATCAAACTGGCTGCGCGCATACTCAGCGAGAAAGCACTGATAGCGTTGGAACGAGCGATGACTCAGATATGTATGTAGAACGGTGCCTGTGAGGTCTGTAGCATTTTTGGAGACATAGATGATGAGAGCACCACTGCGCTGGTCGATTTCAAAGACAGACCAGAACTGAGCGCCAGAGGGCGTTCTGAAGCCAGAATCCAGTCCCAGATAGACCTGAATCGGGTCCTCAAAGTCCTGCTCGCCCTGACATTTCCCGCCGAGAGAGCTGAAGTCGTTGATGGCTTGCCGGAGAAATTGCGGCATCTGCGGACCTCTGTTGTTGGTGTTGTTGGCAAGTGGCCGCAGCCCCGACCCCATCTCTCTCAGCCGCTCCGACGGAACACGATTCAACAGTCCGAGAGTCCGCAAACGCTGCTGCGATCCGAGAATCTGTATGAAGTCGTCGCGAGTAACGTCCATTCCGACGGGAAAACACCCCGCTCCGTCGTGTGCTGCACCTGTCGGAGAATATGACAGCGGGTTATTAGGGCTTCGCTGCATATGCTCTGTCCACTCGTGCCCGGTGCGACCGTCGGCATAGGGGAAAAGGGCCCAGCTCGCGTCTCCATCACCTCCTTGCACTGTCAATGTTGACGCACTGGAGCTGTTTAGAGGGCTCTGAATAGAGGACTCGCGCGCCACTCTGAGCAGGTCGGCCACGCTGGGGAAGATGGTGCTAAGGCTCTCGTACTCTGGCGCAAGCTGAAAGTCCACAGCATCCAGGTTGCGAGTCGACCGCAGTGTCTCGTGGATTTTCATCACTCGGTTCTCCTTTAGCCACTGGAAAGATGCGATTGGATCCGTTTTGGGCACATTTTCAACAGCGTTTGTCAAAGCCGATTCCGAACCGATCCAGACCAATGCACCATGGTAGCCGCACCACATGAAGGATCGCTTCACAACAGCATGCGACAGCGCAATATCGTTTCGGACTGTTTCCCACATCATGACTGTGAATGGCCGTAGGCAAGCTTGGGCAACAAATGCCTTTGTCGTTGTCTTCATCTTGTCCATGTCGAAGAAATCTCGACGCTCGCCATCCTCCAAGATCGTGGCGTTTCTGACGACGACTCCGGAAAAGTGCTCGAGCTTCGGGGCTCGCTGGCCTTCAAGAAAGTTCGGTGGTGCAATTTCCAGATACGTCTTCAGGCCAAGTCCTTCCAGAAGTTCACCCAGCGCGTTCAAGAATGGAGTAGGAACAATGCCCTCCCAGCCTGCCACAAGAATCCCTTGGAAGTTGTTACCCTTCCGGCCGAACATGGACTCGATCTTCCTGACTATGTCATCAATTGTTTTAATCATCACGGCTGATTGCAAGAGGTCAGTGTTGTTTATGACCATCCGCACGTCCAAGCGGCCAACCAGCTGGACATGGTCGGATTTTTGCTCTAGCCGGATCGCGTCCAGCACCCCTTGCTGTGTTGGGTCCAAGATGACTATATCCCATTGTGAGAATATCCGACTTTGAGCTGCGGTTGGCGGCGAGGAAAAGGCTCCAAGGTAAACGCCAAAGGAGGACGGCTTCGACGACAGAACAACGCTACCTAGGGGATGGGTCTCTTGGGCGACTTGTCGAAGATGTTTCAAGACATCAGTTGGCAGTACGGTCAGGGTGGTGTCTCTCTATGGCAGTGTCAGGTAGCTTCTTCACAACAACGACAGCTGACAAACCTTGAGGTATCTTGCCAACCATCGAATGAAGGTCAGTAATATGTTTACAGAACCAATTAGAACACAGGCTCCAATAATTGCTACGAGGACTATCTGCCACCAGTGCTTGAGCAATCCATCGCTAGCGAAAGCACTGATTGTCAAAATCTCTGGGCTTTGCACCATATTGACTGTGAAAGGGCGTGAGCGTGGCTCTACGAGCCTTGCTGAGAGAGGGCCAGGACGTTGGGTAAAGCCCAGTCGTAGCTGGGGTTTTCTAACGATTATAGAAGGTCGGTATGGCGGGTATCAGGAATAGACAAAGCTCTCGGGTATGCGGAGGGGTAATGGACAGCACGGGAGCAAGGATTAATGGTGAATGAGGGAGTGAATAGTAATGAGGGTAAAGAAGAGGAGGCCGAGGTGGTGGTGAGGGAAGAAAATGATATGAAAGATGTACAAGGCGGTATGTTCCAATTCCAAAAGTGATCAACCTCTACGGAATGGAGAGGATAAACACAAAACTCAGTGATTGTGACATGTAGACATGTCGGAACGTGGCACGCGTCTGGGAGCAAGGTGAGCAGTAGTGAAGAATGGCCAAGGAAGCAAATGATGGATATGATAGCTACTAAGGCAGAGGCGAAGTGGGAAAGCTAATTAGTTAGATCTTGGGCAACACATTGTGTCATAGCACGGGCCCTGAAGCAGTGGATGTTGAACTGAACCCAGAGCACAAGCCCAGAGTCAAAGAAAGGGAAAAGGGTATGGAAGGGGGAAGGGGAAGGGTGGAAGAGTGGAAGGGTGTAGAGAGAGGCTAACGATTGCGGGCACGGCACAGAGCAAGCAGAGCAAAAGGCAGAGGGGCCCGTAGCGAGTCGGGCCCACCAAAGCATGTCGCCATGGCATGCCCAGACATCGAAGCGCCAGGGGACTGTTACCGCCTGAAAGTGGATGCTCAGTAAGTTACAGTGCATTAATAATGATGATAGAAAAGAAAATGCACGGAAGACGGGCATGACGGCCGAAGAACAATATGTGCCTGTTCTTGTGACAGATCTGTGCTGTGCCCCCCGGTACGAACACGGACGCCTGATAATAAGATGTAGTCTATCGATACGCCACGACTGGGGGATTCATGTGGTAGGACTATGGACGATGGAGTATGGACTATGGAGTGAAGCACTGTCTGACACGCAGTTGGGTCCCCTCTCTCGTGTTTTCATGTCAGCGCCCCAAGAGACCGGCCTAAACGGTGCTGACAGGGACTAAAGTTAGTATAGAGTAGCATATTCGTGAAGAGCCTTATGCCGGCCCTTCCGCCTCCCCCTGTCCTAGTCCCTTGCCCTTGTTCATTCTTTGGTGTCTGGGCGTCAGTCTGAGGTTTCCTCGAGCGCGGCTAAACCTCAATCAATAGCGCAGCATGTGGGGATCGTAGACCCTATCGCATGAGGGCAAGGCTCATCCAATCTGGCTTAAGTCTCGAGCCGACGTCTACTATATGTTATGTGCAATGAACGGTTACAGTCTTCCTACACCCTCAGACTGACGGGCTGGCTGGCTGACTAGCTGGCTGCAGCTGCACCTGAAACTCGAATGATTGACCCGACAGCCCCCAAAACGTTTGTCGCCTCGTCCCGATGCCGGCGGTGGTTCGCGATCGGCGCTGAAAGAAGGGAGCATTTAAGAATGGGAAAACAATAGCGACAGTGACGGTAGTGGTATAGTGATGAGTAAAGAAATGTAGAAGAATCTCCTTGTTAACAGAAAGAGGGAGAGTGTGTACATACTCGCAAGCGGGTCACTCGTATTCGTCATTCATCAGTCGTCATTCGTTCTTTGTCCATGGCGGAACCGAACTCGTGTATTTTTGTTTTCAAAACAGGCATCTTTCTACTGGCTCGGATGTTTCAGCCATGCAGCAGCATACCCCTCCCCCTCCCCTGCCCCATACACTACACTTGACCTCTGCTTACTCTTCTCTTTGTGGTCTAGCCGCGGGCTCGTCCACAGCCACTGCTCATTGCCCACTTCTCGAACGAACCCTTCGCTTCTTTAGTGCTGACAGCTGGCACACTTTGAAAGGGGGGAGGGGAGGGGGCTGAAGAGAAAGCTCCCGTTCTATCCGTATCATCCGTTACATACTCTTCACCGCCCATTCCTTTCATACAATACTCAGCTGCTGCTTTCCGTACCGTACAAGGTTACAGCGCATCCCATACCCACAAAACCATAATATGTACGCATCCCAACCCTTCATACAACCAAAACAATACATCATTACCTCCACCAATGTCTTTCTCTGCCTTTGTCTGCATGCAACACACGCAGGCTGGTTTCTCCGCTGGCTTACCGTACATGCAGTTCCACATGAACGCTCACAGTCTACGGAGTGGCCACTTAGGCAGTCGGACAGGTCCTGGTATCAGCATCGTCATCGAGATCATCACCAGGACCAACGACCGGGGCAGCACATCTACCGCCTCCGTCGTGAACGGTGAACGCCTCGATATCATGAGACCACGATTTCTGACAGCGCGAGAGGCGCCGTTTGAGTCACAGCTTTTGATGTTTCTTCGCTTGATACTCCCTGTATGTGTGCCTTTGACGTGCGCACTCACTGATATTGATCAAATGACACCTTTCAGCCATGCCACGATGGTTGTCCTCGTGCCTGCTCATGGAGTCGTGTGGTGTCAGCCGTTCCATTTTGCATGATACAAGCATTGCTTATTCCTGGCCATTCTGCTTTCTCGGGTCGAACGCCAGCGGTCTGGTCGGTGATACGAGCCATGCGTAGCACTTGGCTCAATAATGGTACTATGTATACGGCAAGTAGACGACAGCACACAATGCAGATGCACGTCGTGAACATTGGATGCATCGCTCTCAAGCTTTTCCGCCCTATGCATTTCAACAGGCATATATCCCGTCCCGTCTACATAATGCTAATACCCAATACCGAGACACGTCGTCCGTTACTTGTTACTATGCTTTTGATGATATGTCAGATACGCCCAGACGGCGATTCATGTGCTGAGAAATACGCCACCTGCTGTGTACTATACACTCCCGTTCATCATATCAACCAACTATTCAAGCCACGACCACAACTTGTCTCGTGTGTGCAATCTCACCCCAAAAAGTCAATATATCATATATTTTGACTCGTAATCGTTAGCTGGAAAGTCTCAGCCCTCTGCCAACCATCTTGGCTAATGAGCTGGACTATGTTCTAAAAATTATCATTACCATTATTCTGTCGGCCGCCACACACACTTCAGCTTGCTGAGTTTCTCGTACAAAGGCTAACTTATGGATCTGTTACGATGGTGGAGCGAGTGGACCTCATTGACCCCGTAGTTCCTGAGTGGAACCAAATGCCAATTGCTGCTTCGCGAACTGTACCTTGGAACGTCCTCTAGCTTTTGAAAGATCCGGTAACACCAGCCGCCAGCGCGAAGTGGGTGTGGGTATTGCGGACACCAGCGTATACCTCGCGTGCTCGACCCCGAAATTCTAAGCCACAGCCACAGATTATGAACTCATTCTTGACAAAAACTCCCGACGATGAGCGTCTAGGCCATGAACGACGGCCCAATATTTACGGCATGGCCGCCGCTGGCTCGCTCGGCATCTTGAGTGTGTTGAGTGGAGTTCGCTAGAAGTAAGGGCAACCATACCACGTTACGTTAGGGGTAAATAGAATTGACTATAGGGCTGGCACGCCGGACTGGATACAAGGGATACACTTAGGGCTGCTCGACAATGAATGTTAGTGGACGGACTGCTGCTGGGGACCCCCCTGGGCTTCAAAGCCTCGTGTTGGCAGTTGTTGCAGAGGCAGTTGCACATCCATCATGATCCCCAGGGATAGACACATCATCACTCACTTTGCATAGTCTTATTCGTTCACGTCAGGAAAATGGGCGACTCACAACAGCTGCTGCTGGACATCAGAAGTCCAGACGGTCATGCAACGAAACGCCTCTCATCACCACCTGAGTCCAGCCTCCAGTGCCTATGCAACTCTGATCATGTCCCCACCGTATGGCTTGCGCTTACTTACCTCTTCGGACCTTGCCAATGCCTCCCAATCGGGAAATGACAGGATCCGATAACGAAGCCATGCCCGTTTCTTCGCTTGGCTGCCTGAGAGAAACTGATTCTTGACTTTGAGCCTAGACACTATACGGGCGATGGTCCGTCTGCTAAGGTTCTTATACACGCCCGCATCGCCCTGTTATCGATATATTCTTCATCTGTGGTTTTCGTCTTCATCTCCATCTTCACCTTCATCTGCCCCTTTTGTACCCTACCCTTCATCACGCTCGTTGTCTTTCTTCGCTTTTTAGTTAGGTGTGGTTGTATTCCACACCACTCGTCGCTCATGGCACGCTTCACCTTTGCAAGCCTGTGTCGCCGGGCTGTTGCACTCGCTTTCACTCTCCCAGCCCTCACAGCCGCTGCTACCGTAGACAGCACCATTCTCATCTTCGCCCGCGATGCAGCCTCAGCTTCCTCGGGCTATTCTGGTCTACAGGGCTACGGTATTCCCTACCAAACAGTCATTGTGCCATCAGCCGGTATCACACTACCAACCCTGAACTCTTCAACCACAGCCGGCAATTACGGTGCCATCGTGGTGATTGGAGAAGTCAGCTACGACTATAGTGGCAGCTTCCGCAGCGCTCTCACCGACGCCCAGTGGGCTCAGCTATACGCCTATCAGTCTTCCTTTGGAGTCCGCATGGTCCGACTCGACGTCTATCCTGGTCCCAACTTTGGTGCGACTGCCACTTCCGCGACCGCGGATGACCAGCCCATTAGCATTAGCAACATGTCGGCTTTTGCAACTGCAAATCTCAAAGCGTACGCATCCGGTCCTTTCCTTGATTTGATCTATTGATTGATGTGCGGCTGGGATCTGATCCCTTGCACCCTTGGCTGCATGATCTGAGCGCCCGCATATAATCTATTCCTCGTGGTTGCGTCGAACGTGCACTGACATCAGAACAGGGGTGCCCAGATGAGTACGGCCGGTCTTTACCATTATCCAGCCTCGATCACGAATACCTCCCTGGCCACCGAGGTCGCCCAATTTGCGACCAGTTCTGGCCCGGCGACTGCAGCTGTGATCAACAACTTTGGTAGCAACCGACAGCAGATGGTATGGTTTCTGCCATTCGCAACCGAGTGGTCTGCTACGTCGAACTTCTTGCAGCACGCATGGATCCACTGGGCCACCCGAGGGTTGTACAGCGGGTTCCGCCGCATCTATTTCAGCACCCAGGTCGACGACATGTTCCTGGCCACCGAGTTGTACGAGCCGGCCGGGACTGAATTCCGCATACGCACCAGCGATCTGAACGGCATCAGGGACTGGATTCCCACAATAAATGCGAAGATGCCTGGAGGTTCGAGCTACATTCCCGAGATTGGTCACAATGGCAACGGAGATATCGAAGCTGCCGTGACTCTGGACTACAACAACAGTCCCGCCAAGTGTTCCCCTCAAGAAGCCATCGAGTACGATGAACAAGTCGACACCCCCCTCGAATTCAAGAAGAACCTTGGCAGCGGGACTGACATCTGGCCCGCTACCCCTACTGCCTACGCCTGGTCGCTGAACTGTGCCAAGCTCGATGCGCTCGAGCAGTGGTGGACAGTCGTCGCAAACCGAGACGCCTTTGCTCACGTTTCACACACCTTCTCGCACTCCAGCTTGAACAACGCGACATTTGCCGACGCTAACAAGGAAATCACTTTCAACACGGCCTGGTTCCGGCAGATTGGTTTGTACTCGGCCAAGTACTTCTCCACCAAAGGTCTGATCCCGCCCGCCATCACGGGTCTGCACAACGGCGATGCCATCCGTGCCTGGATCCAGAACGGCATTACAAACGTCGTCGGAGACAACACCCGGCCCGTCCTCCGCAACACCCAGAGCTCCTTCTGGCCCCTGACCTCGACCGTCAACGACAATGGCTACGCAGGGCTGAACATCATCCCGCGCTGGGCCACGACAATCTACTACAATTGCGACACACCCGACTGCACGCTGCACGAATGGATCAACACCTCCGGCGGCAGCGGCGACTTCCAGAACCTCCTTAAGGATGCTCGCACCACAAACTCCCGCAACCTGCTTGGCCTGCACTGGGACCCCTTTATGTTCCACCAGGCCAACCTGCGCTACACTGACATGCCCTCCACCGTCGTCAACGGCGTCTCCCAGAAGCTCTCCCTAATCCAGATCTGGGTCGAGGTCGTCGTCAACGAGATGGCCCGTCTGACCAACTGGCCCATGATTACGCTCAAGCACGACGATCTCGGCGCCGCCTTCATTGCGCGCCAGACCCGCGATCAGTGCAGTCCAAAGATCAAATGGACCACCAGCACAGATGGCAAGACCATCACCGGCGCCACCGTCACGACTACGAACAACCAGTGCGGCACAAAAGTTCCCGTCACCTTCCCCGGTAAAGTCACGAATACAAATGGCGCGACCACGGAGCAGGTTGGCGGCGATCCGCTCACGCTCTGGGTCACTATGTCTGGCGCTGCAAAATCCTTCACGCTGCAGACTCCCATTCCTGTCTAAGCGAGGAATCGCAATCGCGGATCCTGTCGTCGTTCTTTGCGTTTCACTTTTTCCGGGGGTTTTATTTTTACTACACATGCCATGTACATATTGGTCTCTCTTTTCGTATGACATCAGCCAGCCTAAATGACTCTGCATCCTCACAACAACAATCCATTTCCATATCCCAACTTCTATTACTTCCCTCATTTATTCGGTCTTTCAGTCATTCACTCATCTTTATTTAATCTTAATTTGCGAGGAATGAAACATACCGGTTACATTCCAAGCAAACAAAAAAGCGAAGCATTCCAGTGGCGCACGTGTGTGTGTGCGTGCGGTGTAGTGTGGTGTGTTGTATCTATCTAGTCGGAGTAGGGGTAGTACACGGAACAGGAGTAGTAGCGAATCTTCATGACCGTAATGATGATATTGGGTATTGAATGCTATTCCGTGTGTTTCAATGTTGTGGCGACTTGATTGAGTGAATGTCTTGAGTTTATTGTTTTGTTTTGTCTTGTTTTAGGAGCAAGGTATAATAAGACATACACGGACGAGGAACGTATATGGTGGAGAATGTGGTTGCTGGTGGGTGTTGGGGTAGGTGTGATGTGATCTGTTCTGCGGCTTTTGTGATTGAATCTGCGTACTTTGGTCTGTGTAGTACTGCCTACGGTCTGTGATGTGCGGTGCGAGATGTGATTTGCTCTGCGGTCTGCGTTCCCAATTCTACGTCCTTATTACCGCCATGCAGACATACCCACGTTCTGACTGTCCCCTCTTAGTCCCACAATATACAAACAAACGCAGACGGGCACGCACAAAGTCCCCACAGACAAACACAATTGCACACACCGCTACCTCAACTTACCACTCCCACGACCACTCCCACGACCACAATTACCACCACCAACTACCGCAATAAAATTCCGAGAGGACAGGAGAAATTCGATAACGCGCGGCTACATACATGCAGGCAGCATACGCACTGACGCATGCATCTTGATGGAAGGATCGATAAAGTACCTCGGAAAGTTCCGACCGAGGGTGGGCGGCTCGGTGTCGGTGTCGGAGTTAGGAGATTGTGGGATTGGGGAATGAGGAGGTGGATAGTGGACGGTGGATGTTTGTGGATTAAGTTGTGAATATTGTGAATCTTGAGTGTGGGCTTGTGGATGCGCATGCGCATATGTAAAGTCTGTCAGATTATGTATGATACTATAAATCATATATACCACTCAACAGCTCAGGAATTCTATTGTGGCCACTGTGAGGTGTGATGCAAGAGCAACGCAATGTAATACAAATGCACTGCAATGTCGCGATATGTAACGCATCAGCCATGTTTACGGCAATAATGTCCGATAGCGCAGCGCTATCGTTTTGATGATGTATCAATGAAGCAGCCAAAAGCCAAAAACCAAAAGACGACAGAAAAGAAAAGCAGAAAAAAACCCCAAGACAAAAAAGAAGAAAAAGGTGTATGCTGTCAGTGGATCCTGGCGGTATTGGGGCCCACCAACCAATCAGATTGTGTCTTGGTACTCCCAGATCTGTCTACCGCTGCCCTCGCCGCATCGTGTCGGAGCATGGCATGGCATCGCGTGCATGACGCAGGGCCTTTACGAGCAGGGGTCAGGGCGGTAGGATTGACAAAGAAAAAAGAGGAAAGCGGACAAATTTTTGCGTTCGGCCAGCGCGTGAGTCAAGTGCGTGTATGTGTGTTAATATCGTCACTGTTTTCACCGATCAACTCGAGAATGCAAACGTCAGGAACCAGAAAAGTTACAGCGATAGCCGAATATTATGAATCTGCAATGACTCTCTGCTCGATATTGGATTCAATGGGGCTACTGGAGATGAGGCTGATGAAGGGCCGTGATCCGGGTCAGCGGGCGCCTGGGCCGGCCTTCGATTGAGTGTGATCCGAGCATTTATGGTGGGATGTGCAGAAAGTATGATATATTGCTACTAAACTCAGAATTTGCAAAAATGTGTGGATTCGTAATTGCGATGGTGGGGAGAAGTGAATTAAGGGGGGGATCCCTCCGCCTGAAGTGTGTTAGGGCGACGGCTAAGCGGCTTAGGAGGGACTTTCCAGTATGCCGGCGCTAAGAGGTGGAATGGAAGGGACGATCTTGGGACTCGTACGCTAAGCCGGAGGTCATCCCCGCGAAGCCGCATTCTTTACCATACGGTTTCGGTTTTGATTTGGAATGCTTACATACGCAGTATTGTTTCGGCGTACGTGCACCCGGCCCTCGCCTGTCTCTCCTCGCTTTGTCGCATGTCAGAATTCTGCCAAACACTTCATTCACCCCTTACCCTACCCTCACTTTCGCTCCCCCCTACCCCCCCCTCCCCTTCTCTTTCTTCAATCCCCACTTCTAAGACACCTTTCTAGGTTCCTTTCATGATCGACGGACCCGTCCTGCTCAAGGGTTCTCGCTGCACCTTGCTGCATATTCATGCACCTAAGTATCGAAATTTTGCTACGCGTGCCATGGAGCACGAATGTCGTGGCCGCTTCACAAAGGCCATGCTCTTGTCGGAGAAAATCATAGCCCCCGTCCCTGTAGGACGACGGTGGTACCAGAAATAGTAATTCCCGAATCATGGTCCATGGTTACGCCAAAGTAACCTTCGCGCCCGTCGGCAAAACCAGGCTCATCACGTGTTTCCGTGCGAAGTTCTAGACTTCCAAAGGTTCTCATTCAGACGAGTTTTGATGCTAAGCTGCATGCAGATGGATCGCTGCTGAGCCTCAAAGCTTCGTCCTCGCTCGCTGTGCCCCCTCCCCAGGTTCTCCGACCTCTACACGTCTTTACCACGATCTCAGGGCGGTTCCTGTGTCCATGATATCTTCTTCATAAAGTTCTCCTGGCTTTATACGCTCGGCTATGCATCTATAGCCCTTTCTTGTACACCCAGCAACTCCTTCCAAGGTTCATTCGTTTTCTTTCTTGTGTTCTTATATTCATATCCGTGCTTGTAGATCTTTTGTAATGTCGTCTTCCCCTCCGCCAAAAGAGTTTGCCCAGCATGAGACTGCCGTTCGCGACGGCTGGTGGGCGCGAATGTCCAAACGGACAAAGATTCTCCTCGCCGCACTCATCGCGGTCATCATCATCGGTCTCGCAGTCGGCCTGGGTGTCGGTCTGACTGTCGGTGGTGGTAACGATGATGGCGACGGCAACTCTGGCGACGACTCGGGGCCCACCGGACCAGCTGCGACCTCTGGCCCTCGTCCCACCGGTGTATGGCAGCCCGCCGTAAACGCGAGCTGGCAGATCATCCTCCAAGCTCCGATCGAGCTGTCCAGCGACGCAACCAGTGTGACGCCGGACGTCGAAATCTATGACATCGATCTCTTCACCAATGATCAGGAGGTCTTCGACACGCTGCGACGACTGGGGAAGAAAATTATCTGCTACTTCAGCGCCGGTTCGTACGAGCCCGGTCGTCCCGACTCCGGCAATTTCGCAGACTCGGACAAGGGCAAGGAACTGGATGGCTGGCCGGGCGAGCATTGGCTGAATCTGTCGAGCGAGAATGTGCGCAACATCATGCAAAAGCGTATCCAGCTCGCGCATGACAAAGGGTGTGATGCAATTGACCCCGACAACGTCGATGGATATGTTTGTCTCCCCCAATAAACAGTGCGTAAATGACCAGACAAATGCTAATGCCCGTGTAGAACAACGACAATGGCCTCGACCTGACCCCAGACGACTCGGTCGCCTTCATGGAGTACCTCTCGTCTGTGTCACTCCCGCTCAACCTCTCCATGGGTCTCAAGAACGCCGGCGACATCATCGACCACGTCCTCAACATCACTCACTTCTCTGTCAACGAGCAGTGTGTCCAGTACGCCGAGTGCGAACAGTTCTCTGCCTACATCAACGACACGAAGCCCGTCTTCCACATCGAATACCCCGACGATGTGACCTCGCTTTCGACGGATAAGCGCAATGGGTACTGCGAGGATCAAGGAGACGCAGCGTATAGCAACAATTTTAGCACGGTGCTGAAGAACATGAATCTTGATGGCTACGTCGATTACTGCAGCGGAATGTCCGCTACAACACCTTTGAACACGACCGGCTTGTCGTAGGCTTCAATCCGCACTTTCTGGCATGAATAATCTTCCTGACATGCTTCGTTCGCTTCATGTACCTATCTCCCTCTAACTCTCTAAACCTTTCTATCTTTCATCACATTTCCGTTTGTACACCTGCTCAAAAGCATCAGCAGCAGTACCATCAGCATAGTATAGCATAGCATAGCATCAACGGGGAATTCCGGGGTTCGGCGCTGAGGATATGGCTTGCGGTCCCGATATCAAACTGTTCTATATACCCCCTATGATCTATTCTCTCGAAGATCCATACCTCCTTTGAATGAATATAATTCTGATTTTTCCTCAATATCTATCACCCGTTATCTCGAGACTCTGTACGTTGCGAAATCGGCTGCAGGAGACTTTCCATATCTTTCCTGTCGTGTTCATATACATGGGCCATCTCACCATGTTCTATGCTATGTCACGCTTCAAATATCAAATCTCACAGCACGTCCCTCCATGTCTCATTTCACCACACTCCCTCTACCTCTTCACACTCTCCTTTATTAACATCTAGCCTCATCTACGCTCATTCGAGAACATCCACATCTACAGCCACATTTCTCTCACCCCTCCCTCCCCCTCCCCCCTTCAACTTTCGTCCTTTGTTCTTCGCGCTTCTCGAACAATATACGTACCATGGTTCATGTGACAGGACTAGCTTCAATATACACGTACAACGCACGTGCGATGGCCACAAATAGCCACGCCATAAGGGGGTATGAGTCTGGATGCAAGTATGAATAGTCTACCAGAAAGCATATCCAGTGCCATGTTGAGGCGTGTGGCGTACGTGGCTAAAGCATGCAACGTGTGGCGCGTCATGTGGAATGTGGCACGTGGCGCGAGGTGGAAATTACCGATGACCTCACTAGTAGTCCGGAGCACGGCCCGGATGACGGACATGAGGGGAGGGAAGGTGCAAAAGCCCGGTTCCGACGTTCGAGTTTCTCGTCGTCGTTGTTTCAATAATTTGGGCTGCGACTGGGCGATTGGGAGGGCCTGAGAGGTGGGTGGTTGATGGTTGTGTGGTTGTATGGCCGTCTGGAATGAACGCATGGATCGATCGATCGATGGGTCAGTCGAACAACTACTCCCGAAGTCTACCGCTTCAAAGTTCGCACCCAGAGTTCGAAAATCGAACATCTTCGGCAACGCATCTCGCATTACCAGGTACACCAGACCACACTACTCATCCATCGCACCAGATTTCGATACCGACGCTACACGGCACTTTGCATCGCGTTGATCCAGTCTTTCACCCCGCTCTCCCACTGCTGTTTCGCTGAGATCGATCGCGATCCAGCGGCTCTGCGGCTGTTGGTCGGTAGATGTACCGTGCCATGTGGTCGGGACGAGCGGCTGTCTTTACAGAGGGAGTTTGGGAGAGAGGAGGCGAGCTAGAATAAGGGATGTGGATTTATGGGATCTGGTAATGGTGTGGGGTTTTGCTGGATGCGTACGTATGTTTGGATGGTACGATGCGACTGGTCGATCGGAGTAGGGAAGATCTCTCGTTGTGGAATTCTTCCGACTCAGAATGTAGGTAACTACCGTTCTGCCAGCAGTCTAGTATGATGCACCGCGAACAGGAACGACGGCAGGCAAGCAGAGAGGCAGGGGATCGATGATACAACACTATCTGATCATCAAAAAATGTCTCCTCTGCACTCGTGCTGTAGAATACACACAAAGGGGGGTCCAAGGTCCACCGTTGAATTGATTCCAGGTGTACAACAACCAAGTTTTGGCACACTGTGTCTTCGGTTAGCACGCTGACCTGATACCAGCATGATGATAAACCCAAACCCCACCTGAACTCACATCCGACCGAAATTTGAAGTTGAGATCATCAAGGAGCACAACACAGCCTGGTTGTGGATGATACGTACACCACTGTCCTCGATGATCCCATCTTAGAACATGCTAATCAACGTTGCACGCATACACGACGCACCACCCGTTCAGCTCGGCCGATCCATCACCATCCCCCCTTCTAGAGCTCGCTTGCCCACCACAAAGTAGCACCATGACACTTATTCTCCGTCTGTGTATCCTAAGCCACATTTACGACAGACCAGAAGCACACAACAGGCCGGACGCGTACAGCGTCAAGTACGAGAACCCGAGCACGAACCATGTACCTCTTAAAGGGGGAATTCGCGTGCATGCTAAGAATCGGTACCTGAACTAACCCACTATTGACTCACTAAATGATTACTTAACTAACAAACGAGCATTCGACGGCCTGAGGTTAAGGCATATAGTTTCAAGCTAGAGGGTAGGAAGTTCTCTTTTTTTGCGCTTGACGGTTCGACTGGATGAATAGCATGAACACTTGCTCCCGCGGGAATTAATTGGCCGTGTGGTAGGGCGTTGGATTTCGGCCTTGTTTTCTCTTCTCATCTTTCCTTGTCGGTGAGTTGGGAGTCCTGACTTTGTTGTTATCTTGTGGAGATTACACAGACGCAGATGAATGGTTCATTTGGCGATCGATGTACTTCGTAGATATCCCGTGCTTTGCGTGTGTTTTGTGTTATGCTCTGCCGGAGCGAGTTCGAGATATGATTGACTCTTCCTACAATTCATACACAATGAAGGCCACGGCGGGCTGCGAGCGGCGACGTCCAATGTTCAACACACCCAAAGCACGATATTCACATGCATCAATGCATGCGCGCATACAAATAGTACATGCAGACATACATCTATGCAGGTAGGCAAAGCAAGCGCCAATAGTCGCGCGCGCCACGCAGCATTATAGCAAAGCCACCAATCCCGCTTCCACCTACTTCTGCCAACTTGTCAATTAGTTCTGCGCGAAACGCCCCCTACGGACCTATAGCATTAATGCATCGTCTGCCTTTTTAACCTTCAGTACGATACATCTGACAAGAACGGTTTGCATGTGCTTGCATATGAGATACGGCCTGCATGCGACGAGCCTGATGGGATCTCGCTTCGTGTTGTGTCCAATGCTGCAGTTCCGATCTTGTAACGTGCAGGAGTACCATTTCTGGATCAGCGCAGAGCCGCGATGCTGTGCCGCCGGCCAAGTTGACTTATCGATAGGTTGACGATCCAGCTGCCAGGCGCACGGCACCGATCTGATTATGAGGGTGTTGCCATGCACAATGACTGTACTCCCAAGCACAAACGTACACGATACATTCTCGTGTTTTCTGCTGACGTACTTGCCGTGCCGCCCACAGCTTGATCAGGCCATTACGGATACCGATTCCGTCAATATCGGATTTTGCATATTCGCTTCTCAGGGCATAAGGGCGTCGGAAGTACAATACATGGCTTGCGCACCCAAGAGGCGTGGGAAAGCCATGCTCATAATGGCAAGACCTCAATGCTCCGCCTGTGGAATACAAGCGCATCGCAAATGCAACTGAGTCACGACTCGACCGCAGGCCGTCGTCGTTGACGTGTACATACATATCTGGCTAAGCCTGAGGCAGAACTGCTGAGCCTCGGCGACCTTGTTCTAGCTTCCCCCCGGTCCCCTGGCATGGCATGGATGTGATGTCGTAGCAATAAGATCTCCCGGCTATTATGATATTCTCCGGTGTGGTACGCTGCGCTTATGTGCATTCTCGTATTCATCCCAAAATGCATGCATAAATACATATGTATACAGTCCATTGCGCCGGGGCGGGGGCGGTCTCTCTCACTCGAGTCACAGCTCATTGCATGGCATTCGCATCGCATCGCAGCTCACGCCCACGAGCAATACTCTTGCATAGCACGGTTCTCCTTTCCCGCCCCCGGCACCCCCAATCCACGCATTTCAGCTCACCAGGCCCTCCATTTATCACGACGTCGGGTACTACGGTAAGCACGCATAAAGTAAAGGCTCGTTTCAATGCGAACGAAGACAAAATCTCAGCAACGCCATTGTGCCATGCCATACAACGTACCAACACTCATGCCATGATGCCATGCCACGCCCACAGCCGCAACGCACGCACACCACAGACACGAGCGAAGAACACAGATCCGAGAGAGTTGAAGCACGCAATCGCTTACACTCATCATCAACACATGGCACAATTCGCCGCCCCATTTCCCCCTCCTCCCTCCCAACAGTGCCACGATGCTGTGATGCGTATGCCCTCGTATATGCTACGCCCGCGTGGCACACAATAACCTGTAGTATCACATCGCGTGCGCGTTCAATACTCAAACCGCCCCCGGGTACATGCTACGTACTGTGTGTATGTATGTATCGGACAATATAATTCCACGCACGACACGGCACGGCACGGCAAGCGAGCGCCGCAGCACGCTCTGAGTTGGTCTGTATGCTGACGCCAAGGGTGTCCGTGGGCATGTTTGTGTAGGTATCTATTTCATCGAAGCGACGGCGAGGGGAAGGGGGCTGATTACTATGTGCAAGAGGGATTAGATGAATCAATGGATGGATGAGGCGGCATTTAATCGGGTCGGGGATGTCTTTGAGGAAGGCAGATGTTGGATAGAGGGACAGGTAGACACGTAGACAAGTGACAGACAGATGACAGACAGATAGACACGGCGAACGTGGAGAAGAACGGAAGGAAGGCAGGAAGGATGCTCGATCATGCATGTATGTACCAAGGTTTGTATGCAAAAATTTTGCTTGCTTGCATGGCATGTCATATGTACAGTTGGGCAAGCGGGTTACTAATTAGATGAGATTCTGGGGGAACGCCGATGCGGTGTTTGTATATCCTGTACTTGGGCTCACTCTCGTCCACAGCGAAATCTTGCAAGCGGCAGGGACAGGCATGCAATACTTTCTTTCGAAGCTTCCCTCCTGCTGGATTCTCGAGCGAGATCCGCCCGTGCTGACTTCTGGTGGGTTCCTTGGGCAGGGCCAGGTTCCAAGACGGCGCTGGAATCCCGAGGGCGGGTGACACCGCAGCAAGGAGTCAATATTGGAAACATAATACGCGCAAGTTGCAGATTCCTGGTATTAGTGGTGTTTGTTGAAGAGATCGGGCTGCGATCTGGTGTGGATCTCGATGTGGGTGTGGAATGAATGAGTGCATCCATGGCGTGTGTTTGCATGGGCGTCGCGCGCTGCTGGGTCTCTCTCTCTCTCTCTATCTCGCTGGTCCACTCCTCTGCATGATGACCAACTATGAGCACCACTGGGCCTGGCACTGGCACCACCACATGAACGGATGTTATTTGTGAGAATGTGGTCTAGTCGCTTTGGTGTTAGGCTCAGGGCAGTCGATTTAGAGTTGCTGATCATGGCTGGCGAGGCGCTGGCTGATTCATTGCTTTGACGGGCGCCAAACTATGCTTCCCCTCGCAGCATTAGGGCCTTCTTGCATCCCTCCGCTCTACTACCACCCCCCCCTCCCCCTACATTCTCTACCCCTTGCCTCGCGTCCCTCGGAAACATCAGGGTGGCCCCTGTTCGAGCCTGTGTGGGGAGCATCGCTCACCCTTGTAAAGAATGTTTTCGCGGTTTCCATCAAACACTGACCTGGCGAATCTTCTTGGCGACCACTTTCGTCCTTCTTTCCGTACCGTTTCTATCCTCGGCTCGAGACCCATGTGGTGCATCGTCTTGTCCGTCTAACCGCTATCGGAAGAATGCAGTCCATTTCTTGCTTCATCGGGCAGTCATATGGAAGACCGTGGAGAAAACTTTGCAAGAGGTGCATAGTAATAACCAGGTCCCAAATCTCACATTTCCAGGGTGTGTACATCATGTCGTGTTCTTGTCGGCTAAAGGCTGACCATCTCGTCATTTTCGACTTCGATGTCGCTTTCACATTGAGTTTATGCGAGTCACGGAATCTCTTCAAACAATAGCCAAGCCACAGTCGGTAACCGGGTAATCTATTCAGATCGGTACTCTTTGTCTAAACAGGGACGCCCTCCTAGGAACTTGCTAATCACCTCCACACAACATTTGCATACCCGGTTTCAGCGTAGACCACGAATGCTAGACAGCAAGGCTACATATTCTCCAAATTGCGGACTGAAGCTTTGATAATAGGCTGAGTCTAGGGATGTCAAGAAAACATGACCTGTCAGTAGCTGCAAGTGATCGGCCAAACATTTTAGCGATTCTTCGGTGATATCTGGCAAAGAGTGGACTAGTGATACCAGGTTGCGCTTGTTGTAGTTCAAATCATCAAGCTGATGCGAGATTCCCATCTCCATCCAGGCTGAATAGGTTTGCTCAAAGACGACTGTCAGATCTGCATATGCCATGTACCGCTGGTCAGGAATATAGCCGGGATTGTGCACTGCTGCTTTGTGAGCACTCAAACCACGCAGTCGATTCTCAAGCGCGCATTTTCAATCTGCACATGCGACAGCGTGCTGGTGGTACATGCTGACCCACGAAGCCTGTGAAATAGATTGACTGACCAACAAAACTCTCTCCGAAGCCGTCTGACTCTTGTACGGCAGTAGAGACAGCTTGCATGTACGCATCGGCGTTTGCATCGTAGTGAGTAGGTGTCTCGTCGAAAAAGACGCCGTCCATGGTCATGTTCGCACTCTTCTCCGCCCAGGCGGCGTACATGGCAATCTCAGCCAGAGTGAGATCCAGGGCTTTGCTTCCATAGTCGGTGGCGACGTAGCCTAGAGTCCGAACGTTGTCAAACTCATTCAACTTTGGAATCTCTCGTGTATAGTTCGCGTCTGGTAGCGCGCTGCTGCCAGGACCCTAGATTGGCTGACTTAAGTAACATTACAGAGGTGCATTGGGGCCGCGGCCCACACACACAGGGGGGAGGGGGTGCCGCACTCACGGAATGAGGGTTGACCACCACGGTAAAATCCAGGTCAGGATACTGCCAGGCGCTGCGTACCATATATCGTCAGTGTCATCCGCCCAAACAATAGCCTGAAGCTGGAGGGTAGATTGAAACCATACGCTTGGTACAACTGGTCCCACGCTCCGGGGTTGGGATAAATGTATAGCGGAACAAAAACAGATGGAGGAGGCGCCATGATGACCAGCGACCGGCCGCAAAGTAACCATTCGAAGTCAGTGATGTCTTTGGCGGCAGTGATAGACACTCACTTACTACCTAGTGATGTACGAGTAAGAAATGCAAAGTCTGACCGGATAATTGATGTCGGACTAGACCGAAGTGGGACCGACCAGTTAAAGCGAGGGCGCGTGCGCCGTTTCAAGATATCGTTCAGCACGAAAGGGGCTAATACGTGCTATAGACCACCTTTCAAGCGGGTACCGTTCAACGCGAGGTAAAAAGTAGCAACTCTGTTGATTGATCCAGAATCTAGATGCTGATATTCAGCTTATAACCGGGTCGATTCGAAGGCAGCTAGGATTGTCGGATCAGCTATTCTGCCAGACTATTCTGGGATGGAGGTTCCGAGTTACAAATTGTTTTTTAATTCAAACGGAACGTGAAGCGCAGATGCCAAGTAAATAAAGCCACAAGAATAATAGCCCAGTCGGCCTGTGACCTGTGACTAGGGGGGAGGGGGGCTCTAGTCAGTGAATGCTTGCGAGCCCCCTGGTGGAGAGGGTCGAATTCCAGTCCAGCCAGGACTGTTTTGACAGCCTGCCACAATTCCATTCCATCGCCTACCTACTTGATGGTCCATGCAACATCCGATGCAAGCACGCTATTACCGCGCGAACGACAGAATCCAAACCGTGAATACTCTTGCTGCGGAGCGATGCGGCAAGAATATTGAATGCTCGCTCTGACGCTGCCACTGTGCCTGTTCCCGTCCGGGTGCCTGTGCGTTGGTACAACATCACACTTTTTAGTTATATATATATATATATATATATATATATAGCCTGTCCTCATCCGCACTACCTTTGCCTACATCAGCCCATATACAGAACATCGTTCCTCCAACCTCTATCTTGCAACCGTAAATCCTTGCATTCTCTCGGGGTCCCAGCAATATCAGTCTTTTCCATACCTTTCGCCATATTCTCTACGGCCGATAGCCTCAAGAATTTCCTGGTCGTCCTATTAATGGCTACCTACACCTTGTCCGGTGCATCGTCTCCGGCTCGATCGCTATCCTCTTTGTCCATTTCCAGTGACGGAGACGTCGGCACACCAGATACTCAACGGTCTGTGATTTTTGATGAAGACGACGCGATCACTGACCCTCTCGATGTCGAGACTGATAACCGGAATTATATTTTGGTCGTTGGAGGACTTGGATACATAGGATCCCATACCACCCTCGAGCTTCTCAAGGCCAACTATAACGTCATCGTAGTCGACGACTTGAGCAACTCATATCGCGATGTACTGGACCGGGTTTCACATTTGGCTTCTGTCCACTTCAAGGCCTGCGGGTTACCAATGCCAGCACTCAGATTTCACAATTCCGACTACCGCGCTCCGACAATGCGTGCTCTTCTCTCGAGTTATGGATCGTATATGGTAGCCGATAACTCTAGCGGAGAGCAGACATTGAAGCAGGTGTCAAGAATCACTGGCGTTATCCACTTCGCAGCTTTCAAATCCGTCGAGGAGAGTATCCAGAAGCCCCTGGCGTATTACATGAACAATGTGTGCGGCATGGTTGACTTCCTTGCTCTTCTACAGGAGTTCGGTATCCAAAACTTCGTCTTTTCCTCTTCAGCAACTGTGTACGGCGAGGCCGCAAATAGGGGAGTACCGCTAAAGGAAGAGCACATGGTCTTGCATACCGAAACCTATCTCAACGACTCCGGTTTCGAACAGACTCAAAGCCCCGGGTCCATGGGGTTGACTTCGCCTTACGGACGGTCCAAGTATATGTGCGAAGCAATCCTGGCAGATATTGCCAAAGCTGATCCTTCGTGGAAAATCACAGCTCTGCGATATTTCAACCCTGTTGGGTGTCACAGCTCCGGGCTTCTGGGCGAAGACCCACGACAAAAGCCAACCAATTTGATTCCAGTCGTAGCAACTGTTCTTACTGGTCAGAGACCCGTTCTGAGCGTCTTTGGAACTGACTGGGAGACCTCAGACGGTACTGCTGTTCGGGACTTCATCCACGTGCAAGACCTCGCACGAGGGCACATCGCCGCATTGGCCGCTTCTGCGAATGGTGTAGTGAAAGAACCATACAGAGCCTACAACCTGGGAACAGGACATGGCCACAGCGTCCGAGAGGTTGTTGCTAGCCTTGAGAACGCATCCAGTCGACATATTCCCGTGCAAGAAGTTGGCCGCCGGGCGGGTGACGTTGGCTCATGTGTTGCTCGAGTTGACAGAGCTGAGCGTGAGCTCAGCTGGAAGGCCGAAAAGACTCTTGCGGACTGTGCGGTCGATGTCTGGAACTTCACAAAGGGTCGTTGTGAGAAGCCGGTTATCCTACGGACGGATTCCGGCATCGCGATGAAATAATCACCTTTATCTCTTCTTTGTGTTTCTATCTTCTATCTCTTCTTTTCTGTCTTGCGAGCATATGCATTGAGTGCCGATCAAAAGGACTAGCATTATTGAGCATTTCTAGCGGGCGTTCAGCAATATTCTGGAACTTTCGCTCTTGTTTTGAACAAATGATGTATTAGAGATTTGATTCTCACACAGAGACGACATAATAGACATTTAGGCTAGCGTGCCCTCCATATGAGAACCCTGGAATAAAGAATTCCACACTTGTCGTTGTTCTTATCAGCGTGAAAGTGCGTTGCCTTACAAGTTCGAGACCAGCATCAGATCCGCTGTTAGCAGTCTGCTACCACGTCAGACCTGGATGGATACCCGATCAAAGGTCTCGGTATTGCGTTCATTATCGTCGGTCAGGCGCGGTCATGCTTCCCCTGTATTCTAGCTGGCGTTACTAGTCGCTGCTATGGAGGCTTGAAGACTCCACAAACATTTCGATTGACCATTCTCCCGGCTATAGTGAACGGGTGGGCTGACAGTACGGATGCGAGATTCTGGATGCTGGATTCTGGATGCTGGATTCTGGATGCTGGAACACCACCTGGTAGGGTATAACGCTTATCTAGGCTACTGAGAGGTAGGTTGTGTAGATTTGAGGCTCACGATAAACTCCTCGACCCTATAGAGGAGTATGCAAGAATCAGTCGAAGCGAGGGTATCGAGACTGTGAAATTCAACCTGAACTACAGCTATGTCGCAAAGTCTCATCTGAGATGGTCGAACATGGCGTGCCAGCTACGACATATATGGCTTACCACTCAGGACCGCGATATAGTCCTGAACATTGTGGTGTACCCACACAGCTGCTGGGCCCACGGTCAGTTGGCTTTTCTGGCGAGCTATTATAGCACACTTAAGACTTTCTATGTACGACAGTAGTGATACAGGCACAAAGATCCGATGGTCGTGTGGAGGGGATGACAGAACCGTGACTCAATCTACCTTAGTCATTATTTACTAATATAATCCACTACTTTCCGTACCCAAACGCTTGGTATTCCTTCTGCAAGATCTATTACTCGGCGGGCCTACGGTTCGAGACTTCGAGCTGCACTTAATGGAATTAAAATGTAGTCTAGATGTCCGATACATGATGGAAATGGAAAAAGGGTTGGGCAGAGGTTTGGGCAAGTCGAGCCAAATGCTTCCATTCTCCATCCATTCACGTGGTAGCACAATTGTTTCAAATAACTTCTGTCCTCCCTTACCGCTCGTCTGCGTCTTTCTTCTTATACTGCAACAAGCTTTTATCTCATTCTCACCAAACCTCCATCGGTTCCCGTCTCCTGTCAATCCAGAACCTTTCAACATTGCAAAGCATACCCCCTGTACTAAGCCTTGTATGTGTCGTGCCGACCACCGTCCGTGCCATGGACACCGACCTCTCCACTCAGAACGATGAGATCGTCTTCAGTTCTACCGCTTCGTGGTCCTGGGATGGAAACAATGACGAGCACGATTCTTTGTCAAACAACGGGCTCGCAAACCAATATCTACCTGATGGGCAGTCGTCGAAGACCAGGAATAGCGGCCCTAGTCCACCGGCGGCCAATAGGGCTTCCGTATCAGTGGCTTGTGTTTCTTGCCGAAGCCGCCATCTAAAATGTGATGGTATGTAGGACCGAATTGTGAGAGAAATAATGTATCTAATCTATTCCCAGGTGGAAGCAGATGCTCTCGATGCAAAGCAGATGGAACCGAATGTTCATATGTGAAATCTCGCCGTGGTTGGAAAGGCCCGCGGCGATCCAGGCTACAACATCAACCGAACAACACTGGTGAGTAGGGCAGGCCTAGGGAACGCTCTGTTCTCCCAGTCGTCTACACTGCATTGCCGTAGGTTCCCTGACTTTTATCTTTATGTAGGTCTTGTGTCGCCGAATCCTTCGATCTCTAGGCAACTGCCTGCAGCTAGCGAATATGCTCTTGTGGCTTCACCCTCCTCAACTCTTCTGGGCATCACAGCATTGTCAGGTAGGGAGCTTGTCTCTGTGAATGGCCTCAGAACATCTGAATCTCCCTCAACTTCGGAACAAGTCATTCCATTCTGCCACCACAAGGCCACTTTGGATGAGCATTTATCGCGGCCGGCCATCAAGCAGTACTACGACACCTTCGCTCCAGCTCATCCAATTTTACCACATCGGGAGCTGACAGCCGAGCTCATACAGAGACATGGGCTGAAACACTTGGAGGTAGCAATGCAATACGTTGCTTGTCGTTACGTGTTTCCATCTGAGAGCGAAAAGCTCAAGAACGAGCTAGGACTGTTGTTCTCCAATGGAGATCCACCTCGTGATGGCTTCACGGTGCAAACTCTTATTTTATTTGCAATAGGCTTGCATGCCAACGATGAGCCGGCTCGTGCACTGGAGGCGCTGGACATGGCGATCTCAATTGCGATAGAAATTGAGATGAACTACGCTCGATTTTCGACAAGCGCAGGTGATGGGGACAGGGTTCTCGAGGAGAGTTGGAGGAGGACCTGGTGGCAACTCTTCGTTCTAGATGCATTCTTTGCTGGAATCAACAAGAAATCAGACTTCAGATTGCGAATCGTCGAGACGGATGTGCCGTTGCCATGCGAGGAGAAAGAGTTTACTTCTTGCGTGAGTAGACTTTCTCCACTCTGGATCTGTCCATACCCCCAACACGTCTGTCGTTTTCCTAAGTGTCCGTCAATTCGATTATATGTGATAGCTGCCACTATACCAGACGCCATGCGACTTGGATTTTATGGATGTCCAGGCGAACCAATACTGACTGTAATACCAGCGTATACCTCCAGGCCATACCGTGGACTCATTTGAGTCTGACATTTTTTCGAATACCGACAAATGCTTCTCTTCCTTCGCCTACATGGTTCACGCAGCAAAGATCCTTGGTTCTGTACTACAGATCGATCCAAGCGGCGCAACAGACAAAGTAGTGAATCAAGTTGACACTGCGCTTTCTGCATGGATGCTCAATCTTCCATGCTCTAAACGAGAGGTAATGTCCAGAAGTGAAACTGTGGATGAGGTACTCCTCCAGGCTCAGATGATTATTGCCTGGTGAGCAAGCCCTAGCCCCTAGCCTTCACTACACCAGCACTGACACATGATAGCGCAAACATAATGCTTCACCGTCCCCGTTCCGCCCTCGAAGTCGACCCGGTCGGCGATATTAAAACATGTGTAACTCCTGGTGAGTTTGTGGGCACGACACAAGCACGGGAGGTCCACACCGTGAAGGCCATAAAGGCGGCCGAAGACATATCCGACTTGATGAAACTGCCTTCACCACTGAACAAACGTTCTCCTTTCTTCACTTGTGCTGTCGTCATGGCGTCGGTAGTCCACCTCTCGTACTGGTCCTTCATAGTACCGGATGGTGAAGATCTGCCTATCAAAGATCTGATTCGACTAGACACAGGAGCCTTACGACACCTCTCTGAAATATGGCCGATAGCTGGTACCTGTCTTGGTCAGGTGAAGGGAGTTGCTCAAGAGATGTTTGCCTCGAAGAAAGCTATCAGTTTGCATACCTGGAAGAACATGCACGGCGAATTCCAGCATATGATAGATGAGACTGTCAGCAGGTAATATTGGTGTAATATTGCTTTAACTTTCAAGATGTTGTTAGTTTCTAGCAATGGGTATCAACATCGACTCAGTAGATAATACCGAATCTACAATCACATTTGCCTTGAATAGATCAAGATACTGTTATCACTATCTAGGAAGATGTGTCGTATTGTAGCAGCCTTTGCGTATATAACATCCAATGTTGAACTGCGCTCATTCCGTGATATACATTGAGGAGTCGCTTTACAGTCAATGGCCTGGATTTCGACTGCAAGGTTACTGTACGGATGTCTGGTCTTGCACAGCCCTTTTTTGCCCGAATGACTGCGTGTGTAACAACGCCCACACCAATTGTTGACGCCCATACAGCGTACTTTCATGTCAGGCAAGCATTCTCCCCTCATGAAGCCATGCGAATATGGAGTTCGTGTCTCAATTGTCCCACTACATGGCTAATGCGCCCCACGTGGCCTTCCATTGTGTTGTCTTCCTGCCGCTCCTCAGAGTGGTCTTCTAAGTGGTTCCAGCGTGGCCCATTCCCATTCTCATTTCGGAGTACAGCGCACTCGCGGCCAGTTTCACCCTCAGGGCAAGACCTTATGCAGTGCTCCAATATGCACATAGTAATCTAAGCGACTGGAGGCACAGGGCTTATGCGTCGCCATCTTGAACCTTTTGTATCTTGCGATATTCCTCTTCGAGTGCCTTTGACATGGCAAAATCGGCCGTACGCTCCCGTTTCAGACGTTGTTGTTCTAGATCACGGATGACACCTGCATGCATAGCCTGTTCATGTTAATGTTACCCTAATTGACCAAGGGTGCGGCGTCGAATTGCAGTATATTCGGACGTGATAACTGAAATGCGAAAGACGTACAGCTTTATCGTTCGTCTGAGCTTGGTGAACGAACACAACTATCCCGATTGCGCTCAGAGAGGTCAAAGCAAGTGTAACTTTGGATGCGGTTGACATTTTCGGTGCTTGTTGTTGGTAGGAAAAATGTTGCTACCTTGAGGGCATCAAGTCGGTGGTCGCTAGGAGCTTGGACCTTCCATCTGATAGCCAAGCTCTTACAGCGAGCACCCGCCGCAACGAACATCCACTTGGAGCCCACGTCAACGACAACGGCGTTTTTCTAGCAAGAGACCAGATATCACGAACAAGCAAATATGGTACGATGGTTTTCCAACCAGTGAACGCATGTGCTGACGCTCTACGAGTCCGCTCAACAGTCTGTCGGGATTCAAACACTACTTGATGTGAGACGCTCCGCTCAGCAGGCTGTCTGTTAGAGACTGACGTGTTCCTAGGCCGAACGAGAGGCGCAGAAGATAGTCCAAAAAGGTGCGTACACTGTATAAAGCCACTGTGCGGTTTCAATGCTAATATTGCTCAGCCAGAGAGTGTACGTAGCCCATTGCCGCTCCAGGGTAATTAGTTAATACATACAGACCGAACAAAGCGGGTCAAGGATGCACGAAGTGAAGCACAGAAGGAGATAGATGAATACAAGAACCAGAAGGAAGAAGAGTTCAAGAAGTTCGAGAAGGAGGTAGGGCACCAAGAGCATCGTGCGGAAAGGCCATGACTGATATCAATTTAGCACTCAAGCGGAAACGAGAAGGCTGAGGAGGATGCTAAAAAGGACACCGATGGCAAAGTGAAAGAGATCGAGGCGATTGGCAAAAAGAGCGGAGGGAGCGTCGTTGACCAGCTACTAAAATGCGTGACGGAACCACAACCTGAAGCCCCTGCTTCATGATTGCTCATGACCAGAGACATATCAGGTTCGCTCTTCATCAAAGAATAGACTCGTTTACTTCGGAATAGCTACCACAGTTGATATTGCATCTCTTACTCTGAGGATCACTCACTGCGATGTAAAGCTTGTCACCCAGACCTCACTTTGTACTCAAGTTGTCGTCAGCATTCCTATCTCACTCAGTCGCTCCCCAGGTGTACAATATAGAACTGGACTTTACGGCATTTGAACCATTACCCACACAATGAATGGCCTTCTGGTGACAGGAGGCAAAAATAAGGCTACTTGGTGTACATCTCTGTACACCCAGGTATAAATGAGAACGAGCCGCCTCTTCCCGCCACTCATGTGGCTCAAGTGCCTGCGAGAAGTAGAGATTCTTCGGGCCAAGGTAACGGTCCAGGCGGCGGGTAAATTTTAGGGGGGCCCTACTCTTAGCCGCGCGCTATTACGTAACTCTATATAAGATAGCTACTAGAAGAATAGGGGGAATTTCTCGGTTCTACTAAAATATAGAGTTAATAAACTTATAATATATAACTAGGGTCTAGTACTAGAAAAGATAACTAACCTTATAAACTTAGTAATAGTAGTATATATAGCTATACTTATTAGTAAAACCGTGATAAACGTAGAGAGTAATACTATACCTATATTCTATTCTAGAACTATTACCCTACCTATAAACGATAGTCTACCCTCTATTAGAAATTATATAGTAGTAGTATTAAAGAAGCTTTAAAACTATAAAGTAATAGTTCTAGTAATAGTTCTAGTAATAGTCCTATAGTCTCTATATATATTTATAGGCGTGCCGTAGGCCAATTTTTTTTTTAGATATATATATAATATTATTTTAGAAATCTTAAGATTCATAGAGAGAAATATTAGAATTATTACTTAAGTATATACTTATCTATAGTCTAAATTATATAAAATAGAGAAGAAAGAAAGGATAATTTAAGAGATAGATAAATAGTTATAATAGTAATTTAAATATTATTATATATATATAGATTAAGATATACTTCTACCTAGGTATACTCTAGAAGTAGATATTATATTTAATTTCTAGTTATTATTAGGAAGATTATATAGTTTTCTTAGAAAGAACGGTACTTTTAGAGATATAAACTTAACCTATTAATTTAGAAACCTTAAGAATAATCGTTAATTAAGTTAGAATTAATACTTAGATATATAGTATATATTCTAAGGAACTAGTATACTATTTAGCTTCATGTATTTACTAGTAATACTTTAGAGTATTCTTAGTATTAATAATAGTCTTAAAGATCTAGATAGATATTATTATATCTAAAATATTAAGGATAGTTATATAATAGGTTAGATTTACTACTTAAGTATATATAATCTATAGTCTAGATTATATATAAAAGAGAGTAAAGGAAAAAGAAAGATTTATAAGAGATAGATAAAAGAATATAATAGTAATTCTATTAATATTATATATATATATTAATATACTTTCTAACTAGTTGTCCTAAGGGAGTGGCGTTTCCTTTAGTTTTTAGTATTTACTAGTAATATTATAGGATCTTTTTATAATTACCGACTTTAAACTCTTTCTATATAAGAATATCTCGTTAAACCTAGGTATTTAACTAGTATATACTACTCTTACCTCCGCTATATCTTTATTATTATACTTATATTAAATTTTCCTTACTTTATTAAGAGATTTAATCTAGTTTATTAGTCTTTCTAAACTATATTTATCTAATATTATAAAGTCTTAGAGGAATAAGGTATTATTTTTATAGAGTATATAGATAGCTATTATAGTCTATTTAGTTAAATAATTAGTATACTTCTAGTAGAAAAAACGAGTTCTAATATACCTTCTATTTAGAGTATAACTTCTTAAATACCTCCTATATCTATAGGTTAATAGAATTATATAGCTATATCTAGTACTTTAGTAGTACTAGGACATCTTTTAGAAAGACTAAGGTTCTATAGTACTAGTCCTATATAAGTTAAGGAAGATCTAAGCTATACGCTCGTGCTATATCTACTAGCTATACTATATTAGTATTAGTAAATTAAATTATCTTCCCTTTTATTATAATTTTACGGCTAATACCCTTATTCTCTTATGAATCTTAGGGTATAGCTATCTAAGACTATATTACTAAGTCGTTAATAAAAGACGTAATATTATCTACTATATTCTACTTCTATCTTTATTTTAGTCTAGCTATAAGACTTATAATCTATTATACTACTTATTATTAAAACCGATTTACTTATATTAGATTATTAATATTTATATTAATCTAGAAAGAATATTACTTAGATATAGTAACCTCCATGTAAAGGAGTAATAGTAGTTACTAAATTTATTAAGGATTCTAGGTTTATACTAAGGTAGCTTTGGTTTAACCGAAGCCTAAGGGTTTATTAACATTAGGAAAGATACGGCGCTCCTAAGTACTTCTAAGTACTCTCTAAGTATTCTTTTATCCTATTATATTTATTAGGTAGATCTACTTACTATCTATTCTAACGGAACGGCTTTATATAATTTATACTAAGTATTCCGCTTATATTAAACGTCCCGTTTATTCTAAACGTACTAGTTATACTAAACGTCCCGTTTATACTAAACGTACTAGTTATACTAAACGTCCCGTTAGTACTAAACGTACTAGTTATACTAAACGTCCCGTTTATACTAAACGTACCGTTTATACTAACGGAATAATTAGTACTAGTTATTTTCTTAATACTAATTAGCTTACTAGTACTACTTATTTACTATATACTAATAACTCTTATAGAATAAATAGTATCTAGTATTTTAGCTTCTCTATCTACTCTATCTACTCTATCTACTCTATCTACTCTAT